CGAGTCTTTCTACGAATTCACTTCGTAATAACTTTCTTATTGTGTTTCTTTGATTTACGTTATTGTTATTATTATTATTATTATTGTTATTATTGTTATTGTTGTTGTTATTGTTGTAGTAGTATTTCAAGTGTCTTCACTATTCTTATTTGTCTTTGGTCTTTGAAATATATTTTCATAACGGTTCATGTTACAAGTGTATTAGCAAATTCAGAGACATTTTATTAATAAAAATGCTACCAATTGTTTTATTTTAAAATCAAGTTTGTTCATTCACCACTTCCCTGTTCGATGTTTTGTCCCTGCAGTTGTTTTGATTTCATAATGGAGCGCTTCAAAACTCCAACCAAAGATCTGGAAGTCTGCTCAAGAGATGCCGTTAGTTGCTTTTCTCCTTATTGTTTCATCTTTATTTATTTACTGTGAAAGAACTGTCAAAGATTTGATGGATAATTAACAGGTTTCAAATGACTTCCGTATGAGATCCCTAGTCAGTCACATGTTTGGTGTGTATGACGAGTTGATTGTTGTCTACGTACGAAAAAATGAACGTACCTCGTACGCTGTACAAGTTTCATGGCACAAAAACCTTTGCTGCATGCAACAGATAGAGAATTATTTTTAAGCATGTCTGTGTTTGTCGGATCGAATCAATTAATAAGTTGTCTAATTACGCTAGCAGTGAGTGAATCTAATCATTTCATCATACAGAGTAGAGTGAGTGAACCTGTGCACATCATGAACATTGCAATCAGGTATGCGAACAAGGAAGATGATGAGAGTTATGCATTCGTCTTCAATAGATTCTGCTTGGAGAAGGTTACTTTTATTCATTCACGATTTGTTGTATGCCAGTGTGTGTTTGTCTCAGTTTTTAAAATGGAGGATTCTTTGGGAAATGAATTAATGGTTGATCTGAATTTGTGGTCTAATGCACTGAATAATATTAAAGATAAGCAACAATCAAGCGGTGAAATGGGGTAATGGAAATAAATGAATTGAGTTTGCCAGAATTTTGAGACAACATATTATCTCTGATTTCATTTCAAAACCGAACGATAACATGAAACATCGAACGAAGAACTTTTGTAATTAGTGACTGAATACTTTGAAACAAACTTCTCAGCGCCATGAACTGGCCACGTACGGTATCAGGCGGATCACATTCCTGGTACTCCATAAACGGGAATTTCCGAAATATTTTACCTTCAGAAGTAAGAAGCAGGTAAGTTGAAGTGGACAAATATTTTGGCATGATAATATTTCATCATATTTAGTCATGGGGAGTATCATTACATTTATCTTTATCACCGTCATCCTATCATCTGACTGACATCATCTTCGCTATTGTAGTGCTGGCGCTGCTATCATTCCATTAATACAACCCTCAACGTTATAACGTGATTAACAGCATAGATGTACCGTAATCATCATCTTTCATGACCATCATCTCATCATCAACCTTCATCATCATCGTCGGTATAGTTTTCAGAGGACCGGATCTACCGACACTTGGAGCCAGCTCTGGCGTTTCAACTTGAGATCAACAGAATGAGTAATTTTGACTTGGAGGCAATGCCAATAGTTAACCACAGAATGCATCTCTATCTTGGAAAAGCTAAGGTCGTTACCTTCATTTTGTTGATATCATACTCATCATCATCATTCTCATCATCATCATCATCATACTCATCATCATCATCATCATACTCATCATCATACTCATCATCCTACTCATCATTCTCATCATCGTCGTTATCGTCATCATCATTCCTACTCATCATTACCACAGTCGGCCAAAGGTCAAGAAGTAACAGATTATCGTTTCTTCGTTCGATCGATCATTCGCCATTCGGACCTGGTCACGAAGGAAGCTTCATTTGAGTACCTGAGAAACGAAGGCGAACGTACGCTACTCGAAGCCATGGATGCACTGGAAGTCGCATCATCACATTATCAGGTTCATCTTGTTGGTGATCGTGACTTGTGGTTGTTGGTGGCTGTTGGTGGTGGGTTTTTTTAATTGTTGCGAATGATCATGTCTTTACTGTTTTTTTTTGTTGAAATGTTGTTTCTATTGTTTTTTGTAAATGTTCTGGCCAATGTTGTTTTTTTTTTTTTTTAAATTTTTCTGATCTTATGTCTTATTGTAGATTTTAAGATGCCAATGTTTAAATTACACAATTATTAGAATGTTTTTGTGTTCAGATTGGTTGATGTTTTTTTATTTTAAGATTTTACTATGTGCGTGTTTTTAACTCAATCAATCAAGTCAATGAAATTGTGTAACGCATTGAAATTAAATAAGTTAGTTCATGTTATATAACGCGTTGAAATTAAATAATCAAATCACAAAGACGAAGAAGACAGATTGCAACCACATATTTCTGAATTTTGTACCAACTCTCACACTGTCCGATCTTGCCAAGGTTCTTATTTCTAATTTTTTTTTTAATTATTTGCTACGTATCTATCTGTCTGTGTGTGTGTGTGTTTGTGTGTATGTGTGTGTTTAGGGATGTGTGTTTGCTTGCTAAAAAAAATACTAAAATATTTTACTTATTTAAAAGTTTAAAAGATGGTCATGCTGTAGCATATCTTATCCTCATTAGCCTCCTTGTTAGATTATTTTCACGACTTTGAAAATGAGGAGTTGTGTCATCTTTGTGCTACTTTATTTCAGTTATACTTTATTAATGTCTAAAACGTTTTGTGTCCACAGTTGGAAGATACGGTGAGAACGATGGTGATGAAATATGGAAGTAGGATCTGGAAGCTGAGAGTCATGCAGAGTGAAATCAAGATGACCATCAAGTTTGTTTTTGTTCTAGGCTTGCTAGCATTTCTATTATGCGTTACTGTTATTCTTTTGGTCAGTTTTATTGTTGTCTGTCGATTGGATTTGTAGATCGTCAGCAATGAGGTCGACTGGATGAATGTTATATAAGGTTTATTAGGTTGTAAAATAATTGTGTGGAAAATAATTTTAATCCATGCTGGATATTCTTCATACACCAACCAGATTGGTGAACAGCGTGACTCGCATCCCCATTCGATTGTACCTTAGTAGCGAAAGTGGGTACTACCTAGACATCTCTATGTACAAGGAGGTACTCGATGAGAGGGTTGGACAGGTAAAATTGATTGTTGGATACTAGATGGAGGAATGAATTAACTGAGTGGATGGATGGATAAATAAATGAATGAATGAATTTTGTGATCAAAGTCGAATTTTTTAAATTATTCACATTGTTTTCTTTTCATATTTAATGGAAAAATTAAATGAAGAACTTTCAATATTAATTTTGTTATGTTTATTTTTTGTTAAATTGTCGGTTTATCTAACAATGAGTTAATGAATGTTGACTTGCAGATAAAATACGAGGCGTATGGCTCAAGACATGGACCCCTGCATGGCTTGTTGTTGAGCACCCCTTACGTCACTAAAGATCATCTGCAGTTGAAAAGGTTCCAGGCACAAACCAACGGTACCACCTACATATACGACTTTCCTGAAATGTTTAGACAGGTTTGATGATGGCATCAATGTCTTGATAAAGCGAGGATACATCAGAAATATATTTCGTATGTTTCCATCTTCGTCATTGGGCTCTTATGTTTGGTATGTTTCCTACAGGCTCTGCTCTCGTTATGGAGGGAGACCCAGCTGAGGTCGTCCAGCACGTTCAACCTTCCAAGCACTGTACTCTCCACTGTTGAGTTGGTCCTCGACAACACTGAACAACTGGTCCAGATGAACAGACTGCCAGGAGAAAATAATGTTTGTCCGTTTTTTGAACTATTTTTCTTCTTTTTCTATTGCCAGTTTAAAATTTAATATAATTGTTTTGATGTTTTAAATTTTTACTTTGATTTATCATCATCATTATGATCATCATCCTTATCACTGTACGTTATCTTATACATCTGAATCGTCGCTAACCTAGTATTGTAATCACCATCACTACCATCATCACCATCTTGATTACTATCAAAATGTATCTTCAGATTGGCATGGTTGCTTGGAAGATGAACCTGATGACCCCTGAGTTCCCTGAAGGTCGTGACGTCATCGTCATCGGGAATGACATCACCTTCCAGATTGGATCGTTCGGTCCTAAGGAGGATGTATTGTTTCAGGTGATAATGAAGTAATCAGCAATCGTCGAGTGATCCTGGTGATGATGGGGTGTTCGAATTGCATAGCATTGTGATTAAAGCAACAATAAATACAAAATTGTGTCAACAACCATCATGTTTATCATTCATATATCCTGCAAATTTTTGAATTGAGAAGTTCTTATTTCAGCTTATTCTGTGCAATATTACAGTGTCCTATTAATCCAAAGATCCTATAATCCGACCATAAAAACTGACCTAACAGAAAGCTATGCAGCTGGCCCGCCAACTGAAAGTTCCGTGCATCTACTTGTCTGCAAATTCTGGTGCTCGCATCGGATTGGCTGAGGAGATCAAACATCTATTCCACGTTGCCTGGATCGATGCTGATGATCCAGATAAGGTGAAGGTCGTTGTGCTAGGTTGGATGATTTTGGGGATGGACGGATGAATCGAGTGAATATATGTGGATGAATACACCGTTGTTGTTTCTTTTGTCGCTGAAGTTTGTTTTGATGTTTCAAAGTTTTCGTTATTTTACAATGTCAACACTGCTCGCAATATATTCAACAACTACCTCCATATCACTTAGTCTTTTGTTCTTTGAACTAATAACTTGAATTATTACAATGATCAGGGCTTCAATTATTTGTATCTGACGCCTGATGAGTACAAGAAGGTAAGTTCGAAGAACTCCATACAGGCAGAACTCATTGAAGACAAGGGAGAGACTAGGTACAAGATAACCACTGTTATCGGTTAGTTTCTTTCATCCGCCGATCACTCCTTCATTTCTTTGGCACTGTGACTCAGTGCGATGTTTCTTCTCTATTTTATTGCTTGCTGTTTGCTTGTTGTTTGCAATATCATGTCGGTACTCTTTATCAAACATCACTAATTTATGCTTTTACAGATTTTTTATTTTTTGATAATTTGGTGAGCTATCTAAGCCAACCCGTCAGCTCTATCATTTGTATTTTGATCATTGGTCACTGTATTCAACAAATCTTGTATTTTTCTCAGTTTTATCACTTTCTCAATCACCGTAAGAGGTGTAACCTTCACTGACACATCATGACCACCTTGATGGCTAGTAACATGATGGCTACTCAGGTCAGGACGACGGCATAGGTGTGGAATGTTTGATGGGGTCAGGGATGATAGCAGGTGAGATGTCGGCAGCATTCAGCGAAATCATCACCATGAGTCTGGTGTCCTGTCGGGCGGTCGGTATTGGAGCCTACCTGGTCAGGCTGGGTCACAGGGTCGTACAGGTGGAAAACTCGCACATCATTCTCACAGGCGCTGGTGCCCTCAATAAGGTTCATTCATCTATGTTCACACCATTTGCTTCATTCTTTGTTTAAATTAATAGCAGTGGATATTTTGTCGTGATTTGTGTTTAAAATTTTTTCCTTTTATACAATATTGTAATTTTATAACTTTGAATTAACCTTGGTGAAAACAAATTATCATCAGTGTAGCAGACTAACACAAAATTTCACACTAGCAAACACAAACACATACAAACAGGTTCTTGGACGAGAAGTGTACACGAGTAACAATCAGATCGGAGGCATACAGATCATGTACAACAACGGAGTTTCACACGCTGTATCTTCTGATGATTACAATGGCGTACTCACCATGCTCAAGTGGCTCTCCTACATGCCTAAGGTTTCGTAGCGTTCATTTTTATTTCTATTGTTGTTCTTTGTTTTTTTGCTATTTGTTTTTGTTTTGGAGTAGGTAATTACTATATTTTTGGAATTTTTTTTCCTTCAAATACCAACAGTATAAGGATGGTCCATCGGCCACCGTTGAGCCTACAGACCCAGTAGATCGGATTATTGAATTCACTCCAACAAAGGCGCCATATGATCCGAGATTCATGTTGGATGGCAGACCGCATCCAGAAAATCTGGAAGAATGGCAGTCTGGATTTTTTGATAAGGGTTCTTGGATGGAAATCATGGCACCTTGGGCACAAACGGTCATCTGCGGTAGAGCCAGGTTGGTTGCTAGTGCTGGTTGGTAGAGGCAGATGATTGGATGAGAATTGGTCGTGGTCATCATTATCATCATCTAAAATCATTATCGTCAAGATCATGCCCATCATCGCTATCATAACCTTCATCAGATTGGGAGGCATTCCGGTTGGTGTGATCGTGACGGAAACGAGGACTATCGAGATGACCATTCCTGCTGATCCTGCTAATCTAGATTCCGAAGTCAAGGTCACCATGATGATGATGATGATGATGATGAAGATGAGGATAAGAGTGATGATGAAAATAATAGAGGATGGTGTTGAAAATGACTGTTACTATAATTGCACCATTCAAAGTTGCCAAAATTTTTAACCAACCGTCAAATTATTTTCAGGTTTCATTATCAGTTGGATTTATCATTAACGTGTTATTCATCTATCCATTTTTCATGCATAAATAAATTGTTTATTCATCTTTTTACCATTCAAAATTCATTCATCCATTCATCTTTACATTCATTTGTCAAGCTTTTACGATCTTTCTATCAGTGGGTCAACCAACCATCTGGTCACCCAAATTTTTTGTATGGCAGGTGATCCCACAAGCAGGTCAGGTCTGGTTTCCAGACTCTTCTTACAAAACTGCACAGGCCATCACATACTTCCACAGGGAACAACTTCCTCTCATCATCTTTGCCAACTGGAGAGGATTTTCTGGCGGAATGAAAGGTTAATGGAAAGAAGAGCCGCCAAACTTTTTGAAAGATGCTTTGATCAACGGATGTTTAAATGAATTTAATTTTTTTCCTATTTTTTATTCGTAATTTTCTTTAATGGATTCTTTGGACAGCTCGTCTTCAATTAATCATTTTGGTACTAATCAATCATTTTATTATTCACTCCGTACAGACATGTTCGATCAAATATTGAAATTTGGATCATATATTGTCGATGGCCTACGTGAGTACAGCCAGCCGATCATCATCTACATCCCTCCCAATGCGGAGTTGAGGGGGGGAGCCTGGGCCGTCCTTGACACCAAGATCAATCCTGAGTACATTGAGATGTACGCGGACAAAGAGGGCAGGTTGGCCCCCATCTATCTATCTGTCTATCCATTTACTTTGTTTATCTATTATCTAGCTGTCTATGGATTTACATCTGTTCACTTTAGTCCCATTGATTCATCATTTGTTCGTTCATTCATTCATTCATTTATTAATTCATTCATTCATCCATTCATTCATCGTTTGTTCATTCGTTTCTTGTCAACTGTCCGTTATAGAGGTGGAATCTTGGAAGCAGAAGGTACTGTTGAAATAAAATTCCGCATGAAAGACCTGATGAAGATGATGCACCGACTTGATCCGCTCTGCAGACAACTAAAAGATAAACTTTCCATGGAAATTCCTCCGCCGGAAAAGACGAAACTGGAGAAGCAATTGATGGACCGGGAATCCCAGCTGACTCCCATGTACCACCAGGTGGCGGTTATGTTTGCTGACTTGCACGACACTGCCGCCAGGATGCACGAGAAGGGATGCATTCACGTTAGTTCTTCTAATGTTGTTGTTGCTCTCTAGTTGTTGTTGCATTGTTATTGTTGTGTTGATGTTGCATTGTTGTTGTTGATGTTGCATTGTTGTTGTTGTTGATGTTGCGTTGTATTGTTGTTTTTGTTGATGTTGCATTTTTGTGGTTGTTGATGTTGCATTGTTGTTATTGATTTTGATGTTACGTCGTTTGTTGATGTTACATTATTGCATAGATATTCTCGCCGAGTTTTTTGCCAAACCTGACAGTATGTTATTGTATTAAATATTACGATGACAGGATGTTATTGTATTAAATGTTACGATGACAGGATGTTATTGTATTAAATGTTACGATGACAAGATGTTATTGTAATAAATGTTGCGATGACAAGATGTTGTTGTATTAAATCTTACGATGACAAGATGTTATTGTATTAAATGTTACGATGACAGGATGTTTTAGTGTGGAAGCACTGTCGCAAGTTTCTGTACTGGAGACTGAGGAGGTTGTTGATGGAGGAGACAGTGAAGAAGAAGATCAGGCAGATTAATCCTGAATTGAAGGGTGGTCAGATCAAATCCATGCTGAGTAGGTGGTTCGTTGAATCAAAGGGAACAGTTATGGTTAGTTTCTCGTGGCTTTTTGTTTTTAAAAATTTTAATTCGTTTTGTTAGATTATTTTTTTTCCAATACTTGTGAAAAAAAATGTTAGGCACACCTGTGGGATGATAACAAGGCGGTCGTTGAATGGCTGACTGAGCAGATGGATCCCATAAATGTAGAACAGTCGATTGTCAGTGAGAACATCCGAAGTTTTAAGAGGGACAAATTAATTGAACAGATCAGAAGGTACATCAATTGTCTTTTCTTCACGGTTAAATATAGCATTCACTCATGCACACGCAGTTGCATTTAAACACTCATAAATTTTGAAACACACACACAATCGCACAAACACACATACGTACATACACACAGTCTCGTAAGCGAGAGTCCAGAGTTGACGATGGAATGTTTCTCGTACCTCGTCCAAGATCTGACCATCACACAGAGGACAGACGTCGCTAACATGCTCTCCAAAGCAAATCAAAACATTCCATCCAACAAAAGAACTTGACCGTGGCGATGCTGATACATACACTGATGATGATGATGATGATGATGCTGCATTGATGCATTGTTGACGCATTGAGGATGACAATGCGTTGATGACGACGACGACGACATAGCACTGATGATATATTCCTAGTGGCAGTGGCGATAATGGTTTTGTCACTGACGATAACGTTGATGTTTTGAGATTTTGAGTTACTCCATTGACGGTGATGAGACAAGCGAGATCAAATTTGAAAAAATGCCAATGATTCATCGAGACTTTTTATGCGTTATTTATGATGCAATATTTTCAACCATGCGTTTATTGTTTGATGCGGTCGTAGGTGAGTTTGTACTTTGCTTTTTTTTCTGTTGTTTTTGTTAGATACATTTGGGGCGAACACTTCAACCTGTTAGGGCGGTTGACGAATGCAACACATTGATTGATTGAGAAAGAGAGAGAGAGAGAGAGAGAGAGACAGAGAGAGAGAGAGAGGGGAGAATGGTGAAACATTTGGACAACTCCAAAATATTATACGATATGTTATATAAAGTATATGTGATGGTTATTTGTTTCCTGTTGTTTACCAGGCTGAATGAATATTGCTGTTGCATGTTGCGGTTGCATGTTGCTGTTGAACGCTTGGCAGTTTCTGGTGTTATAAATTAATCTACATCTAAGTTTCTCAAATTGTCTGGTTTGCTGATAATTAATTATTTTTTCAGTATTATCTACTGAAAATCATGTAAATGTGTTTTAGAATTTTTCGACGAAATTAGGTTCCAGTTTCCCTTAAAACAAATCTCTTCAAAGCGTCCACAATCCTTTTGTAAATGGAAAAAGTTCTTTCTTATCTTCACGCTTTAGAACGAAAACTCCTCTTTGAATGAAGTTTTCTCATCTAACCTGTTGAGGATGTAATTTCCATTTAATGGTTCAGACTCCTTCTAAAATTCAAAACCAGTTCCTTCTCCTCTGATCTATCTATGTGAAGGTACACCAAACATAAAGAAACGCTGATCTTCGTCTAGCCTTTGTTTGCTGAAAATTAACAGTTGTCGATTTTATGTGTTTAGAAGAATTTTGTTTTTATCATTTGAATTTCTGTTATATGATTGTTATGTATTAATTTATTGTATTACATATTGATCAAACTTTTGGATTATTTAATTTTTACGCATTTCTATTTGTTGATATATTTTGTAAACTTAAATGTATTTATAGGCTCATTGTTTATTTATTGTTGGTTAAAATTAACTTTTGGACTCATCAGCTCTCAAATGCTGTCCCGGTAGTTATTTTAATGTTTTATCATCTTCTTCGTACATTCACAACGGCTCAACGATGAGCACATTTCAGAATTAACCGACTTACAAATGTAAATGGAGCATCATCATTTATATTATGATGGTAGCAAGCGATGATGTTATCGAAGAAACCAGTTACTCTGACCTCACCATTCATTCATTTCTTTCTCTGTTCTCATTTTTAAGTTCATCTTTGTTAATGTTATAAAGATGTTTTCAGATCATTCGTCAAATGTTGCGCTAATATTTATCTGCATTCTGGTGCAACTGAAACTTGCGTTATTATAAATATTGCTGCATTTATATATATTCTATTTATTTGGGCACTTAATTAATTGCATTAATTTTGTCGACTGTACAGTGTGGATACAGCTGGGATTTTCTTTGCTGCGGAAGGATTAAAATAATTTAACGCAAATGTGCTCGCACAGGTTTTCTTATTTCTTTTTTCTTCATCTTAACTTAATGAACCAGCAGCTACATGCATCATCATCATCTATACACATTATTTAGTACACATCTATTTCTTACTTTTACAATTCATTCTGAAACATTCTCTAGATCTTTTTTCTTGAAACACAATGTACACAACACGCACCCAAAACTGTCCAGGAAACCAAACAGCAATGCAACGAGATCTGCTGTGCCACATTTTAAAAATAATAAGCGATTATTTCATATAAGTTAATGTAAAAGCAATTTAATTTGTCATTTCTACTGTTTTATTTTTCATTATTTCGAGAATTGTTCGTACTTCTGCTTCATTGAAGTTTAGAATTCTTTCACGATCGCACATCTTCAACCTTGATAAAATTTTTGACAATAATGACCCTGAATGCACTTCTTTTTACATTTGTTTGTACATACGTTATTATTACATTACATTATATATGGACCTTCTTATAAAGAATGTTACTGATAACTGCACAAACACACACACACACACACACATACACACACACACACATATATATATATATATATATATATACACACAACCATCCAAATTGAACACTCACTTTTCAAAAATTTGATTCTTCAATCTTCATTATTTTTAGCATTTGAATAAACGGAAAGAAAATGTTTTTTGTGCCGAATTGTGTAGTATTTGTCATTATAAATAACTACATTTTTTTTCTCAACTGTTCTCAATCTTATAAAAATATTTTAATTCAATTTTATTTGTGTAGATAAATGTCTAAAAACCAACAAACCACTGAACATAATTTTTCATAATAAATCAAAAACTAATTGAGGAACTCGAAAATTCATCATCAGAGGGTCCATCAAATGATTAAATGATCATGTTCAATGAAGTACTAGTAGCAGAATGATGTTGATGTGATTTATTCCTCATAACCATCGGGTAAGGCATTAATTTTCTTGTTGTGGAACAGTGTGTGGTTTCCATCGCCCCATGGAAACCTCTTTTATTCATAAGCAATCAAAAAAAAAACACATTTAGTTTTATTTAAATGTAATCATGATTTAAATTATTAGCAACTTTAAGAATATTTATAGTGAAACCAAAAAAAATATTTTTATTTTCAATAATCCAGATGACATACACCTTGTAAATTCATTTTAGCACCTGTTTTGTACAGCCTTGATCCATATCAAAGTGCCTTCCATTTTTTAAATCTTTTTTCAAGAATCTCAATTTATTTTCCTAATATTTTTATCATTTATTTTCTTTGGCCCTGACCACAAACTTCTCATGTCCAGCTATGATTTTACTGTAAAAACCTAAAATAGCTCAAAAAAGATTTCCTGCTAAATTTCTTCTTAATAGTTATTCCCACAACATTGGTAAATATTTCATAGCTCTATTAAAAAAATATATGTCTTCCAAAAAACATATATGACTATACTTTTCAATTTACTGAATTTTTTAAAACTCCTTATTTATATACCTATCTAATTAAAATAATATAGTTTTAATGATGGCTAAAAAAATAACAAATAGATGAAAACATACTTTTGATCTAAGTCTCAAATGCTCATATGGGATAAACTCGGGCTTGTGTTTCTCCCAATGCTCATGTTCCTGCTTCTCAATTTGCTGGGCATTAACATAGCAGGCACCAATGGGGATTAGAGTAAGGAATGACAGTAGCCTCCATCGGCTTGATCCACCTGGATGAGGTTAAAGTTTTGAATATTATATAAAATTTATAATTAATTAAATAATTAAATTAAACATCAACGAATATGAAACTCAGATTGTTTAGGTTATTCCTTTAAAACTAAAAGAGCATCCAAAAATTTATAATTTCTATCTACTAAAACTAAAAATTTATAGTAATTTTTATCTTTCTTTTTTTTCTCTTCATGACTGTGACTTCTACTTTTTTAATGACTCCTACTTATCTCAATGTCTAATACTAATTTCTACTAATAAATAGTCAAATTAAACCAAATAAATAACTAGAATTAACAAAATTAACTTTTTTTTAAGCATTAAATTAAGTCATTAAGCATTAAGGATTAATTAAGATTACTAATAAACATAAAGCTTGCTAGTTTTTTTATATTACTTTTAGATAGACTAAATAGTACTACTTTCATTTTGGGGTTTAATGAATTAGCCTACCCAGCAAGTTTCAATATCGCATGACATATATTTATCATACACAACATTTTCAAGTAAAATATTTGAAGAACTTTTCAATGAAATGAACATGGAATAAATGAGGATGATAACTTTGAAAATGAGCGATATAAAAGAAGTGTAAATTGTTTGCATACCTCCATGACCTCCTGCAGTGGCGGCCAAATTCTGACTGTATCGTCTCACCGCCCACGAAAATGAACTGTTCATTTCCAGAAGTTAAAATTCACTTTGTGGAAATTAGAAAACAAAATGAACGAATGTCAATGAATGAAAAGTATCTTCGAGGTCAGAAAAGTAAACAAACGGCAAAGAATAAATAATTTTCATCAACATTTTATCTCATTGTGGATATATATCCATGTTTCTCACCTTTCATCATGTACGGTACTTGGAATGCTTGGAATACAACACGACACAAAACAATAAAAACTTTACAATTAATGAACGTTTTAAGAGTTGTTAAAATTTAAATTAAATAATTTAAATTAAATAACTAAAATATTTGAATTTTTACATATTTTGTTTTAACAACATCGTTTTTACACAGTTTTTCCCTATATGGAGAATAAAATGAATTTAACTTGGTGGTTTTAACATATTGTGTCCATATTTTCATTGTTTGTTTTTCACATATATCACAAAACCATCAGAAGTTGTAATTGCAATTAAATTTGAACTACATCTCTTATAAAATATTTAAACTGCCACCGGATAAGTATTCTGTACTGCACACGAGCGCCTTCCATAAGTCATACTTCAGTCAATTTGTCTTTGGCTAAATTTCAGATTAAAAATTTCCCTAAATAAATTGGAATATATGTATATAAAATTTAATTATGCGTACACGGAAGTTCATATCTGTTCTGTAGATCTGTAGATATTCTAAGCATATGCGATCAACAGACATTATATTAGTTATCGATAATGATTGATAATGCCCAATTTCACGATTTATTTTGTTAAAATGCCGTGAAATTAATAACGCAATTTGTTAGATATGTTTAACGGTTTTTAAATGTATTAAGGGAGTCGCCCCTAAATATTATATTTAACAGACAGAGTCATTTCTAGAACAATGCCATTGCTGAGTCAAACATTGAACTCTGACAATTCAGGTTTACTGTTGGCACCTGACACAAACTTGGTTTTTGGTCGAAGGAATTTCTTCGAAATGGGTCCTGCTGTCTGGAATGGTTTGCCTAGGTAACTTCGCGATCCTGCACTGTCTGTTATTCAATTTTGTAGAGTGTTGAAACAATATCTTTCAGTCCAAGCTCACCAGTGCTAATGCTTTTCAATTAATTGTATTGCCTTAATAAAGAACCACACGATGTACTGCTATAGTCGTTAGAGCCTCTGAGATCTTTTTAAAGGGCGCTTACAAAAAAATTAATAAAAATAAAATAATAATTACGATTTTTTGACTGAAATTCAGATCTTAGTTTAAGATTTGGAATTTCAAGTTTATTTCACTTTTTCACTTGCTCAAACTTTTTTTTATAGAACAAAATTATTTCGCACCATTCACATAGGTTTGATTTAAAGTGGTCGGTTCGGCTGTTGCTATCGCAGAAAGAAACGCCAGGGTCGTCATGATTTCCAATTTTATTCAACACTCACTACAAAGATGACGGTTGTCATTAATTAAAGGTTTTTGAATAATTTGTATAATGACAACAAAGAAAATAACATAATTAAAAAAACAACGAATATATTAATATGCAAAATTCTGCTTAATTTTTATTACCTACAATTGGTGTATATGTATATATATACTACTCTTACTCCTACTGCCACTACAATGAAATCGATGCGTGTTTAAGCACTGCTTCCAGCACTACTAATTATATTACAAATTTGTAATGGTTGTTCTAATTGGATAAACATTTTCTGTGTAAAAATTTTGAAAAAATATTTGTACGTGTAGTTGTAATGAGAAACAGCGAAGGACATTAACGTCGAACCTAGGAATGCATGTGGATGTGTGTGTGTACGCTTGTATGTGTTAATGTAAGTGTGTATTATATAAATATGTAGACTTGTATGTGTGTGTGTGTGTGTGTGTGTGTGTGTGTGTGTGTGTGTGTGTGATTATGAAAAAGTCATTTTGCACCATATTTATTGAACAAGTTTTAAACACGTGACGAAAAAACATAACATCAACATCAACATTAAGTTACAAAGTGAAGCTACTCTAAACTCAATTCAACGACGACAAAAAAATGTGTGTGAATGTATGTGTGTGAATGTATGTGTGTGAATGTATGTGTGTGAATGTATGTGTGTGAATGTATGTGTGTGAATGTATGTGTGTGAATGTATGTGTGTGTGACTTCTTGTGTGCGTGTTTTTGTGGCCGTGTGTATTTCTTGTGCGAGTGTGTCTTCTCTCTCTCTTAGTAAAAGAAACAACAGTGGATAAATAAGACAGACACGTTCATGATTTGGAAACATGTAGGTTAGTAATGGGGGCATGATTCATCTTCTTGCACCAATCAAGCTGTCTCATCATTACAGAGCGAACATTTTTTTAAGTGATTGATTAATTATAATTAAGTATATTTAAAATATGAGATTACTGAAAAGACAAGTAAATAAATTATATATATATATATATGTTTATATATATATATATATATATATATATATATATATATATATATACTAATAGTCTAAAAACTACCTTTTGTTTAACGGGCACATCTTGAGGTAGACATGCAGTCATTACTGATTAATTATTTGAAATCAAAATGCTTTACACGAAATGAAATTAGTTTTGTGTGTTGTGTGGAATCATGTCATTAAGGGCTTGGCAATTAACTTTTTAAAATCATGCTGACGTCTCGTTCAGTGTTGCTTTCTGTCACGCATACACTGCTTATTAAGCAGATACATTAAAAAACCAGCTATAAACGCGTTAAACATCGTCATACGTATTTTAAGTTTCAAGTTTAAAAATGTTTTTCTTGTACTTTGGATGTGCTCATATACACACTACACACACACCACACACATGCACACACACACACACGCATACGCATACACACACGCACACACACACACACGCACACACATACGCTACGCGCACACACATGCACACAACCATCTGTAGCAGATGATAAATGATGCAACGAACATTGACAGGACATCACATTGTGATTCAGTGGTAAATTCTTTCAGTTGTTAATAAATGGTTCAATAGAAATTTTTTTAAATTAAATAAAGTTTATTAAATGACTAAAATACCAAAAATTATTGTAACAACAAACCAAAGGTAGTAAAATATTATTAATTCTGTCTGTTGAGATTACATATGCACAAGTAAAAGGTCTGTGTAAAAAAATACATCTTGTTGAAACGATCGGATGAAGATGTTCACATTCTGGATAACCAGGTAGGTTATTTATAACTATAACGTGATATTTGTTTTCAATATGATGGTGCCCACGAGTTTGACATGACATCGTCAAACATACGTATATATATATATATATATATATATATATATATATATATATATATATATATATATATATATAGGTTTGTATATTTATGTATATTGTTTATTCAAATTTCATATCAATTTTATATAACATTCAAGCCATATATTATAAGAGAACAATACATACTACCAGCGCTTACATGCATATGCATGACATGACAGAAGCATATGGAACAACTAACATACCTAACAAACATATCAAACATCAGACACATACATCACAACAAAACCGTCAAATCCAGCAAACATCAGCAATCATTCAACTCCCCAAACTTCAGCCAAAGCGGAAGATGACATTACGAACTCTTAACGTAATTGGTGATGTTCCTCTTCATGATTTCCAGACATGGGCCCAGCAGTCTTTCGAAACAGTCGACCTCCAGAAAGGCCAACTTCGTTGTTCCCCCTCCACTCGAATACACCGAGGCCGAACGAGGGGCTTTCTCGACCAGGGCCATCTCCCCGAAGTAGTCCCCAGCCTGCATTCGGGCTGCCTCACATTCAACTCCGTTACGTGTGATGGTGACCTTAACCTTTTAGGGTTTCGAATTTTTATCATACTTATTTAATTAAAAATTTACTGCGTTATTCATGTTACAATTATTTACTATATTATTTTTATATTATATTATTTTTATATTATATTATTTTAATATTATATTATTTTTATATTATAATACTTTTATGGTATTGATAATTAAATAATATCCATGCTACTTGTTACTTGTTTGTTTTTCTGGGTTGGTTATTGCATTTTTTTTTTCAAAGAGTTTTATAATTACTGATAAAATAATTTTAGAACAATTGATCCTATAAAATATGATCAACATATGATATTTTAACGACTTTGATAATTTTTTTCGTTTAATTTCAAACATTTTCAAAACATATTTTGTAACAGGACACTAATTCGAAGTTATCTATGTCAGTTTGTTATAATATATATATATATATATATAAAAATTCAAAAAGAATGTGAGACACATTTTCAGACGTATGTAAAAACATTTAGATCAATGCAAAATTATCATTTAATTATTATCAATATTATAAAAGAATTTATAAACAATTGATAATTTATTAAGATTGTTAAAACAAATATTCTGTAAAAAATTACAGTCAAACAATTTGTAAATCAACAAAAACCGCAACTCCAACCAAACACAACAACAAACGTTTAACATCGACAGCAGCTTCAGTAGCTACCAGAACGTCAGCAGGACGTCTACGGCAAAAGAATAACTTTGAAAAAAAAAGTTACAATATACAACTTGAACAACATCGACCACAACAACAACATCAACAACATCAACAGCAACATCAACAACATTAACAACAACATCAACAGCATCAACATCAACAACATCAACAGCAACATCAACAACATCAACAACAGCAACATCAACAGCAACAACATCAACAACATCAGCAACAACAACATCAGCATCAACAACATCAGTAACAACAACATCAACAATATCAACAACAACATCAACAACAACATCATCAAAAAATACATCGACTTCGAAGACATTAACAATTAAATGAAAAGATCAGCATGGATTTAACATGTATTAATTCCATAAATCCATGCATTGAAAGGATCTTCTTATGTAACTTGATGCACTCAAACCTGCTCTCCAATTTTCTTTTTTGCAGATTGTTTGATCCCTGGGACCACATTTTTTATTTCTCTTTATAAAGGACGAGCAACATTTGCATTTACATTCGCGGACCAGTTAATATCCGAAAAACAACCATAACGACGTCAATAAAGACAACAGAATAACAACAACAACAATATCAACAACACAAATTAACCAAATTAAGCAAAACATCAACAAAAACAACAACAGCAGCAGCAGTAGTAACAAAACAAGTCACATTCACAAAGAAACGGACAATAAAAACGCAGAACCGGCAATAGGGAAAGTCATGACGTGAGCAGTAAAAACAACGGATGTAATAATGACGTCAGCGTTTACGTCAATCAACCAGCTGATATCCCCCCGTCAACCTGCTGGCATCTTCCATCTATGGGTAGCGCGGTGGCATTAAAACAAGGCAAACACACCAACAATGTCAGCATGTGACAGGATGAAAGCAATAAAATCGTCGTTGAGGCCACAAAGCTCTAATTTGTTATTACAGCATAAAAGTAGCAATCCGGACTGACACCCGTTAAAGGCCGAAGAACAGCGCTTGCAATCAAAAATGGTTGTTAAAAGCAAATAAAAACAACAGCTAGCAACATAACAAGAAACAAACAATCACAACAAATTGTACGGGCCAACAAAGAGTTACAACAAAACCAAACAAAGGTACAACAAAACCAAACAAAGTTACAAGAGCTAATAAAAATACAAATACCTCCCGATGTAGACAAAAAAACGAATGAGCAAGAGCAACATTGATAGAAACCGACCTCGCCATGTTCGATGAAGTACATGCCATCCGCCACATCTCCCTCCTTGATGATCATCTCTCCATCGTTCACATAGACCGGTGTGAGAGCATCGGCCAGGTTCATCCTCTCGTAGAGGTCCAGATGCTGTAACATTGGAACTTTTTCCAACAAGGACTCGTAAGTCTTGCGCTGTTTGCACGCACTGCGCAAGACGATGCGACGAAATGACTTGCGATCCATGGCCCAGAGACGACCCTTCGTGACTGCAACCACGGTTGCCGATCGTGGCATGTTGTACATCAGAGCCAACTCGCCGAAGCTTCCGCTGTGCTCGAAACGATGAACGAATTTGTTGAGAGACGATGCGTCCTTTGTCGCCGATGATGTTGACGATGAAGGTGTGGACGATGATGTGGATGATGATGGAGAGAAAGAGGAGGAGGATGTTGGCTGGTTCGATGAAGTCTGTGGTACTGGTTGTGCTTGTGCTGCACTCTGGTGACTCGTCTGCGGTGTTTAGAGAAAATTTTTAAATTTCAAACTGTATTTTTGTTTAGAACCAAAGTAATCTATATTTATTTATAGTATAATAACTAGTTCAGCTGGCTGGGGCAAGTTTTTCAACGCTGGTGCGCAGAAAATTTTCTATTCGTAAAAACATTTTAGTGTTTGATAGCTGATACTGAATGACATGGTGGGTGGCATATGATTTCTGGTGGCAAGACGTTTTTCTATAATGTTGAATATTTTTAAAAGAAAGAAATGTTAAATTATTCAAAAAGCCATCTGCATAAAAATTTTCAGTTTCCTTGAAAAAATCTGGCCACACCTACGCTTCCTCACAACTCGTCATGCAATAAATTCAAAATTTAAAAATAGTAAAATATATTTTCCACTTTTTGATGAGCTAGGGCCACTTTTCACCTTTGCATGCACTACGTATAAAATTTCGTAATACTTTGCTATGTAAAATTTATAATTTTATAGAATTAATTAGAAAATTTAAAATGATAATGAGAATAGTTTTGTGAATAAATACATAAATAAATATTATGTAAGATGCAGTTCCTTTGGATTTAATCAACCGTAGTGGTTTTCAACGTCAACTTTTTCCGCAAAGTCACCCGTGCAAAATATACAGATCAAAAATTACGGATGGCAAATGGAGATGAGTATGAAATAAATTAAAATTAAATTAAACTGCTCGTGTATATAAATATTGATAGAAATTGAAATTTTCAAAAGATCTTGTCGATATCTCCGAAGCAGGTTATAAAGTTTGTCGATATTCTTCAATCTTTATGACGGAAACAACAGGCATGAAAATATAATTTAATGCGAAGTTGAAAGCAATGGGTCAATAGAAAACTTTGGATATTTCTGTCTTGCATGTGATTTGATCTTTATGGACGTGTGTGCTCTCAGAAATCTTAGTAACATAGCAAGTTGTAACACAGCAAGCAGCAACACAGCATGTAGCAACACAGCAAGCAGTAACACAGCAAGTAGAATCACAACAAGCAGCAACACAGCCAGCAGCAACACAGCATGTAGCAGCACAGCAAGTAGCAACACAGCAAGTAGCAACACAGCAAGTAGCAACACAGCAAGTAGCAACACAGCAAGCAGTAACACAACAAGCAGCAACACAGCAAGCAGTAACACAACAAGCAGCAACACAGCAAGCAGTAACACAGCAAACAGTAACACAGCAAGCAGCAACACAGCAAGTAACAAAACAGCAAGCAGTAACACAGCAAGCAGCAACAAAGCAAGCAGTAACACAGCAACAAGTAACAGCAAGTAGTTTTATTCAAATGAATATGAAGGAGTGTTGAAAACATGGAAATACAAAAATATCGTAAGTGTAAATTTGTTTGCTTATCATTGGGCTTGTGTTGTGCACTGCTTAACATTTGATAATTTGGCTAGATTTCACTAAACATTTTGTAGATTGTTATGCACTAACCTGGTTCAAATACAGTAACAGTGAAACCAGAACACATTAAAGACACGTGTTGTAATTTACTATTTAGTTAATTGTTATTTTATTAAATAATATTAAATTTGTTTGATGGTCAAATTCAATTTTAAAACTTTTTATAAAAATGTTTAAAATTTTGCACATTTCTCCAACTTTACATAGCATTTTTTCTTTACAAATTCCATGAAAAAATACTTTTTTGTTAAAAGAAACTAGAGACATAATTAGCAAAATATTTTAAAATATCTAAAAAAACTTGGAAGTTTCGCAAAAAAACCGCTAAGAAAATTTTGGCGTCATAAATAACTTAGTGAAATTTTGTTGTGTCTAACAAATTTTCTGATAAACTCACTTGCGTTCTTATTTTTTTTACGAAATGTTATCTATAATGGAAAAACTGATCAAGCTTTGTTCAGTTAAACTTTTGTTGTAAGATCGAAGCCGGAAAATTGTAATTTTATGACATTTTATAAACGCTGTTGCCAAACGTGACACATTGTTCTACCATTTTACCTGCTCGTGATCAGACCAACCACATCACATCTTATTAGTTTACTACAATATCAATTGTCAGCGATAATTCTGTGATTATTTATTCAAGCAATTTTAATTTAATTGACTTGAAGAAATTGACATTGACTCAAGTCATCCATTTTACATCACTGCAAAATTAACTGGCTGGCTGCTTCTGAAATATTCAAGTCTCATTTTTGATAGACATCTACTTCACAAAAAATCATACAGCCTTTCCTGATAAGATGTTAATGCAATCTTATAACCCAGTTATATATCGATACAACGTGTACTTTTATGTTTAATGAGAAGACATAACATGCAGACGTAGAGCACAATGTGCAGATGGAGTGGCTGGAGATTTCAGTTCTTATGTTTCTGCTGATTGCATGCAACATTATAAAGGTGCACGAAGCACGTTACTACATCCAGTTGTTGTTTTTGTTGTTGTTGTTGCTTCTGCTGTTGTTGCTGTTTTTGTTTTTCTGTGTTGTTGTTTTTGTTGTTCCGTGTTGTTGTTGTTGCTGTTGCTATTATTGTTGTTCTGTGACACGCATCACTTCACCTACCTACATTACCTTCTGCCTTTTTACATGACAAACTGCATCACACTTCCACAATGTTTGTGAGCATGTTTTACATTTACGCTATAAAGCAGCAAGTACATGGAGCGTGTGCACGCGGGCTTCAAGCTAAGCTTCAAACGAACACATTTGTGCACACCATTTGCCTAATTGTCCTTCCTGCGATTGTTTGCGTGGCGGCCTGATAAATGGTTATGATAACGATGATGTTCAACGTCAACAGCATTCAGTTAATGGCTGGTCAGTTGGTTAGATCTTTCAATCAAACTTTTGATGTTCCCACGTGCTGTTACTTTATTCGATTCAACGCAACGTCCTTGTTTACAAATGTAAAATGTAAATAAAATATAATTGATACATTTTGATTAAACTAAAAACTGTTGGCTCATGTTTTTGTGCAAGTTCAACATGTAATTAGCAAAAGTGGCAATCAAACAAACAGACAAACATAGCGTACTAACACACGAACGTACACACGAGGAGAGGAACACGCACACAAAACACGCACACGAATTCCAAGGCATGATCAGTCTGAAGAAAAGGCATTAATTTAAAAAATTTAATTTTAAACGGCTAACTCATTATAACCATCTTGAGACGTTTGTTAAAATTTTCTCGTTGAAAATAATTTGAGAATCAAATTTGTTTCGAACGGTTGTGGAAAAATTAATGACGGCTTCTACCGCAGTTCATTAAAAATGTCTCTAATCTCACTTTTATATTGAGAAATTTGTAACATCAGCTGAAATGTTAAACGAAAATTTGTCAACCGACCAAGGTTGTTAGACGAAGTTGTTGAAGGATATTCTACAAACCAAACCGAATTGAAACAGTTTTAATTTCATCATTGCCCAGTATTTCAGAGCTGACATGAAAATTGAGTTAACTTCATTTAATGATAAAGTGAATTGCATAAAACGCATTTGATAATAAGCTCGCTGACAACGACGACGGCTGAAACATTTCTACTTAATAACTTCCTTGCCATGATAAAGTTGAAAAATTAAACTACAATCTAAGTTTAAAATTGTTTCCAAAAAGTTGTAAATATTTTTTAAAAATTAGAGCTTTTTTGTGTTTTAACAAACATCTAGACAAAGTTTGAAGAAAACAATGTTAATAAAAAATTTTTCTGGAACATGAATACCATCTAAAATTTTGCGTTAGAAACATTTCAATACACAAACTCTCTTTGAGGCATTAAGTTAGGTAATGGCTGGTTTAATGGTTTCTCGTCTGATCTGCTAATTTGCAACTGAATTATGTATGACGCAAAGTCAATCAATTTAGCATAAAAGAGCGAATGATGAAAATGTTGGGAAAAATAATCAACCCCCTCTTACTGCAGCACAAATAACTTCGTTAAGCCGCAAGTAGTCCACTGACACTGACCAACTACAACAACCACGTGACAACCAGCAACGAACGACTCACCTCATTCTTCACGTAGACGTCATAAACGCCACAATCGATGACGTAGAAGTTGTCTCCATCGTCTCCCTGCTCAATCACATGATCTCCAGGATCTACGTTACGTTCGAACATGGCGTCGATGACGTCATTCATTTGTTCAGGAGCCAAAGATCTGAAAAGCAGGATGCCTTGCACCGCCTCTTTCAGACGTTTGCGCTGCTCGTCTGTCTTTGGATGCATTACCTGCAAATTTGTGTGTGTGTGTGTGCGTGTGCGTACGTGTGTATTTGTTTTATTTGAATGTATTATCTGCATATATGTGCGTGTATTTCTGTGTGAGTGCGTGTGTTTGTGTGTGCTTACATGTGTATGTGTGTGCTTGCATGTGTATGTGTGTGCGTGCCTGTGTATGTGTGTGCGTGCCTGTGTATATGTGTGCGTACCTGTGTATGTGTGTGCGCGTGCCTGTGTATGTTTGTTTTATTTAGAGTGCGTCACCCGTTTTGTAGAAGTGTATGTTTGTATCGTTCGGCTGCATTCCCGGAGCATGCATGTAATGTTTGCTGCTCGTTAGCAGGGATTGTTTGGGAAGGTACGTGTCTTTTTTGCCACTTTATTGCACTGTGAACCTGGCATGTTTATATGCACATCACTGGCTGGCAACTGACTCATTTGAACGTAAAAAATAAATAATGGAGAATAGAGAATATGACAGTTTCAAGCCAGTTGGTCTGATCTCACTACAGGGAATAAAACTGGTTGTCTGAAAAGTTGCGGGAGGAACTATTGAATTTCTTTTTTTTAATTAAAAAACTATTAAATATTCATATCGGTTTAATTCAACATGGGGTGCGTATTTTCGTTTTGTTTCTTTGAATTCATCTTACCAGAAATGTTGAGTTAGGGTAGGGTAAAAAATGAATCGAGATTTTAGTGGCTCTCATTTTTAAGTATATATATATATAGTTTTTAAATTTGACGTAATGCAATAAAAGTTCGTCTAATTCAATCTTTTTGTTTTTCCATCAAATTCATTTTTTCAGATCTGAAATTAGTTTAGACACAGCAAACCACATAGCCCTGTTTTATTTGTTCGTTACTGAGTGTTGCTCAACAACTGCGTAGTTGGAGGTTTGTTGTTAGGTTGTTTCTATTAATAAATTGTTTTGTTGTCATTGTTTTGTTGTTGTTGTGTTGATGTGTTTTTTCGTCTTTTAAAATGTCAATACTTTGTCTACCTGTTATAATATTATTGTGTAGTTTTGTTGCGTTGTGAGTGTCAGCCATTCGAGCTTTAATTTAGAAATGTATTTAATCGATTTTTTAAGGATGAATTTACGCCACTTAATTAAAACTGATGTCTAATTAGGATCCAGGAATGAATGGAACAGTGAAGGTAGTATGATCGTACACGAAGTGGCAGATTGAAAATGTTTGATAATTTTTTTCTCTCTCCGTAAAATTCGCTTAATTAAATGATGCCATACTTTTGACAAAATTTTGAAATTGTTCTCGGAATTGAGGTAAAGATAGTAGAAGCGCCATGCCTCGTGTTGCAGCAACCTGGTTCAAACGCAACGTAAACTTTGTGTGACATTTGTCAAAATTGTCTAAGATGATTTCTTTGGTACGTGTGAAAATGTACTTGATTAATGAATGATAAATTATAAAGCAAATAAATTTTTAGGAAAATAAATTTGTTAGGTTTTTCACAAATTAGTTAAGAATAACGACATACATTTACAATAGACAGAAAATAATTACATCATAACTTCAATAGTAAAAGAAATTGGGAGGAAAAATTCAAGGCAAACAAAAGAATGAAACATTATTCATATGAGGACTGCAACATCAACAACAACATCAGCAACTGTATCCCAACAACAAAAACAACAACAACAACAGTAACAACAACAGCAACAACAACAGCATTAACAACAACAACATCAGCAACAACAACATAACAACATTAGCAACAACAACAACAACAACAACAAACTTTTTTGTTGGCATCATCGTTGTCATCATCCTCATCTTCTTCCGGGTCGTAACGTTCTGCCGCTACTGATCTACGGCGCCCGAAATTTCTAACAGATGATGATGATGATGATGATGATGGTGATGATGATGGTGATGGTGATGACCGGATGATGTAGGTAGTTATCATGGTGATGTGACGATGATGATAGATGGCGTTGATGACAGATATTGGCAGATGGTGATGATGGTATGATGATGGTGATGATGATAATGATGTGACGATGAGGATGTGGATGACAGATGATGATGATGGTGGTAGTGATAAACGCGTAATTGTGATAAAAATAATGATAGTTACGATGATGAAGGTGTTGGTGGAGGTGCTGATGGTGGTATTAAGAGAAACGATGATGACTATGATGACTAAATAATGATAAAACATTGATAAGCTGATGATTAGGGCGTAGGGTGAATGATCGGATCATAACAATTGCAGACGATGATGTCTTTGGACGAAGATAACGTCAAAGATGACTATTTCAATAAGGAAATAATGCCTAAACTGATTATGACGGCGATGATGATAACGCTGGTGAAAACGACGACAATGATGATAATAATGATGATGACGATGATACAATGATGATACAAATGATGATACAAATAATGATACAAATGATAATACAATGATGATACAAATTATGATACAATGATGATACAAATAATGATAAAAATTATGATACAAATAATGATACAAATGATGATACGAATGATAATACATTGATGATACAAATAGTGATACAAATGATGATACAAATAACGATACAAATGATGATACATAGATATCGTGTTGCTGTGAGCTAAGCCCTTATACGAAGAGTGTGATGGTGAAGATTTGTTGGGTTGTTGTTGATGTTGTAGATTGTGTTAATTACTCTAACTAATGGTAGCAATAACTGTAATGATGATTACGTGCTGATGATAATATGTTTGTGCTGGTCATTCTATTTATTATGAAAATAATTGTGGGGTTTAGTTAGTTGTTAATCATGCGAAAATGATGATATACAATCATTACAACGATGGTGAGTGTGATAAAAATGTGCACTGTATTGCACAGTTTTATATAGCGAAATATCGACTTTAATGAAAAATGTTAAAAAATTTCACAAAAATTTTGGTCTTGAATCCAAGAAACTTGAGAATGATTTACGATCAACCGTTATAAAATTGGAAAATTTAAGCAGGAAGTTACTAACGCCGAACATGCTGTGATTTTCATCAATAACTGTATTTCTGACAGTTTTGATCTAATATATATATTATATATATATATAGCAAATGTAGCAAATGACTTCCATGGCAGAATCATCTCATTTCCTTTTATGATACCTCTTCATATTCACTTCAAAATTATTTTTCACTAGTAAAGTGAATTTTTTTTTACTGTTTTATGGGTTTAACGTGAAAAACGTTAAAATATTTCACAAAAATATAAATTATTAAAATGAAACATTTACAGTTTTATATTTACTCTGGTTCTTCTATAATATTTGTCAATATTTCAATCCAAATTAAAAAAACAAATAATTATTGTTATAATCTGTCGAATTTTTTCATGTTTCGAATATAAACTAAATTAATGTCGCTGTCAACTAATCAACCAAAAAGAGGACTACAAGATTGTTTTATTGGAAAGAATGGCGTGAACTTTGATGAAAAAAAGCAATTTGCTGGAAGGGTTAAATGAAGCGAGTCACCAGATGTGTGCGCCGGCAAGGCAAACGAATGTGTTCAACACTCTGGTAGGCTGCTCTTTAAATGATTGCTTCCAGGATGAGATGGATGTCTTCTTCAACCTTTCAATGCCTCCTTATTAAAGTCTACATTTGAGATTTTCTGTAATTTAGATGTAGTTTCCGCTGTTGTTGTTGTTGTGTTGTTGATGTTATTTACATGCGTTGTTGTTGCTGCTGTTGTAGCTGTTGTTGCTTACACGTTGTTAGTTGTTCCACTGATCCATTCATTAAAGTTATAGTTAGTAACAGTAGCTGATCTGTTATTTGGTCATCATTGTTTTCATTTCTGACCAGCTGACCCTCATTATTATCATTATTATTTTCCGGCTTGGAGGTTATTTGTTACGAAAAGATGATCGGACATAAACATTGGCCACTAATCTTATTTTAGTATTATATAATGACAGAACGTGTTTTTGCATTCAGATTATAAGCTTTCCATAATTGTACAAAGAAGCAACAACAAAAAACGAATCCCCGCAAGAGTTTCAAGCCGTGCAAATTTTTGTGAAATCTTTTTCAAATGTTTTACAAACAGTCGAACGCAGGCAAATCATTTCGGTTTTTGCAAAATAACAACAAATAAAAATTAAAAGCCACATTTTGATTCGGTTGCACGTCATGTTAAAATTTATTTCACGTAAAAACGTCAATATTTTTTGAGAAGCATAAAAATTATGAAAATTTTATCTTCAAAACTTTCGAACATTTCATATGGATGTAGCAAATGGAAAGATGAGCCTAGTCATCCAACAACACACGCTTCTGCTTGGTGTTTCACAGAAATTTATAAATTAATCATGCCTGGGCTGATGAAAAATTCATGAAAATAAAACCATAGGTTCTCAAACGTATTGCATTTTTGATTTATATCTGTTAAAAATCAGTCTTCTTATCCGCAACCACTTGTTTGATCTTATTTCAAAGAGTTTTTTTTACGTTGGTAAACAGATATTTATTTTCCTGTTACAATGACGATTATGTACTTACAATGGATGTATCAGTGTGTAAGTCTGCATACATGTGTAAATGTATTTGGGCGTGTGTGTTTCATATAATTATCTGCAACTGTAAATCATTATATTGTTGTATTTCGACATATGTGTCATGGTGGTCTAATTTGTCGCATAGCTCTGAAATGAACATTATTTAATTTTCCATCTTCAAACAATATTTCAGAGGCAAAGTGAATGCCAGACTGTGAATATGTCCACCAATTGAATAACTTGGCTATCTTGTATCTTTCGATGTTTTCCATAACATCCATTCACATCATCGTTATCCTACCGCCACTCAAATCTTCAACACACTCGATTGATGACTGTTCAAGAATGTAGAAACTATTTATTTTCAGTTGTAATCCAGTTTTCATTTTATATTATTGCCTTGCATGTTGTAACAGTTTCTGCGTCTGCTAGATTCTGCTTAAAATGCACCATGAGGATGAAATTACACATACACACGCACATGTGCACATGTTCACACACGTTCACGTTCACACACGTTCACACGCTCACACACGTTCACGTTCACACACGTTCACACGCTCACACGTGTTAGTGCAATTGATTAAACAACAAGTCGAAGTTCATCGATCGTATTTGTGATGGCTGTTCTTAAGCTGTGGGTCTGCACGTTTGAATGTCAACGGGCTTACATTAAGTTAGTGTCCATGGGTATTTGTATATGTTATTGTTGTATGTATGTAGGTATGTATGTAGGTATGTATGTTTGTGTGTGTGTATGTATGTATGTATGTAAGTATCAAATCAAATCAAATCAAATCACTTTTATTCAATCAAACAGAACAAAAGCATGAATGATTCGGAGACCAAAAAAAGAAAATTAATTCTTGTGGGCTCGGCCACCGTGCAGCTCAAAATTGCTTCTCAATGATAAAATAAAATTGTCAATAGGAGAAAATGTATCAATGTTAATGAAATATGTACACACTTATATACATATATATACATATACATTATTATCCTTGAAAAACAGAACTTTTCGTAATTAAAAAATTTCTCAGTTTATTTTTAAAAAGATGCAAAGTGTTACAATCTTTAATTTCTTGTGGTATCGTCTCCCATATTCCTGGGCCGGTATGTTTCAAACTCATGCAGAGTACTTTAATTCTGGCTGGTGGAGCATAGAAAAGTGGCGTGTGGCGTGTAATTCTTGCATGAATGGAAGTTCCAAAAGTCAAAAAGTTTCTAAAAAATGCCGGCAATTGCTGACGTAGAAATCTAAAAATGAATGTTGCAACGTGGTAGATGAACAAGTTTTTGATGTTGAGTATTTTCATCTCGAGATAATATTCACTTGTGTGACAATGAGGATGAAGATTTTTAAATATTCTGATGAATCGGTTTTGGCATTTTGTTAACTGTTTTAGATGAATGTCAGGACTGTTTCCCCAAATTACGTTGCAGTAGATGAGGTGAGGAAAGATTAACTAATAATACAGGTCAATTAGAGTAGGTTTATTTAATTTATTTTTAATTTTGCTTATAACTCCTAGGGTTTTGCATATTCTTTTAGACATAGTATCTATGTGAATATCCCAAGAAAGATTGTCCTTGATTGTTACTCCAAGGAATTTTGTGCTGGTTGAGCGAGGAATAGAAATATTGTTCATTTTTATGTCTAGGTTAGGTATAATATTTGTTAAAATTTTCGGACCAAAAATAATGTAATTACATTTAGAATAATTTACTATTAATTTATTTTTGATAAACCAGGTTGATATATTTTGAAGACTGTTATTGATGTATTCTACTTCTTTCAATGGGTCTTTAGTTGGGAAGAAGATGTTAGTGTCATCTGCATATAGAAGGTGATTTGCATCAGTTGCATGTTGAAAATCGTTCATGAAGATTATGAATAGAAGAGGATCTAAAATTGATCCTTGTGGCACGCCTGATCTTACGTTAAGTTTTGTTGAGGAGTGACTTTTTATTGCCACATACTGGTCTCTGTTCTCTAAATAACTTTTGAACCATGCACTTACTTTTCCTCTTATTCCATGTGAATTTAATTTTTTAATCAGTATATCGTGGTTGATGACGTCAAAGGCCTTTGAGAGGTCTATGAATACACCTACAGTCAATATCTTTTCGTTAAGATTATTCATAACATTTTGTGCTAATTGCAGCACAGCTTGCTCAGTTGAATGCTGTGCTCTGTAGCCATACTGATTATCATTTAATAATTTATTTATGGACAGAAATGAGGTGACTCTGACAAAAATTATTTTTTCTAGTACTTTGGAAAGTGGAGAAAGTAGAGATATTGGTCGATAATTACTTGTCTCTAATTTGCTCCCCTTTTTGTGAATTGGAACTACTCTGGATGTTTTGAAGCATTGTGGAAATATTCCTTGGACGATGGAAAGATTGTAAATATGAGTGATTGGGATGACAATTTCTGGGATGATTTTTTTAAGTAGATTGTTACTTAAAGTATCATCTGACGTATGTATGTATGTATGTATGCATGTATGTATGTATGTATGTATGTATGTATGTATGTATGTATGTATGTATGTATGTATGTATGTATGTATGTATGTATGTATGTATGTATGTATGTATGTATGTATGTATGTATGTATGTATGTATGTATGTATGTATGTATGTATGTATGTATGTATGTATGTATGTATGTATGTATGTATGTATGTATGTATGTATGTATGTATGTATGTATGTATGTATGTATGTATGTATGTATGTATGTATGTATGTATGAGTGTGTTGTATGGTTTTTTATTACAGTCAAAATAAACATAACATATACACAGGTAATTCATACATACTTGTGGAAACCGCTTTGTTGTTTTTGCTGGCTACCAGCTTGAAGGTCGTCATCATCGTAGTTGTTGTTGTTTACATATTTCTTGTTGTTGTTGTTGATGTTGTTGTTGGCATGTTCCAGCGGTTTTGGCTGGAAGGAGCTGGGGTCTGGCTCGCATGCCTCCGAATCGTTGTCCACAATAACAAACATAGCTATTTTCTGTCAATGAATTACATCAATCAAGATGAACATGACATCATATAACGTTAATGCTGCTATTTGAACACCAAACATCATCAATATGTTGATAAATGTGACAGAAATGGCATTAACTAACGTTGTAAATTGTTGAATTTGTTCTTTTTTTATATTAATGTGATGTGATGTTTTGATAATATCGACAAGAGGACCAAAACAAACAAGAGCTTCAACGCAACATTCAGACTGTGAACAATAAATAATGAGGATCAAAATACTGGTGATCATCCAAACTGTATCTACATGTTTTTTTAACAAAAGTTTCAAACGTTTTGCCAGTACAGTTGGTTTGATTTTATTACTTTTTTGTTTTGGAGTGGTTGATTTGGTAGAGTTCATAATTGCACCACCATCAGGTCGGTTTAGCAAATACATTTTTCTAAATTTTCTAAATTTTGTTTCACCTTTATATTTTGGCAATGTTTTTTTTACATATTTATAAAACGTGGAATTGAAAAAATAATTTTCTACATCAGACTTGTGTGTGAATTTAAAATAAAAATGTTTAATATTGATGCACTATTCATTGTACGCATCTCAGTCACTAGGCCATCACACCGCCCGAACTTTAAAAATTAGGACAAAACTTTAAATTTTCCTCATTAATTATTAACCGCTGATAATTACATCAAAAAAAAAACATTAGCACTAGCACAGTACGATACTAAAATAGTAAAATAAATTTTTCAGACAATTTATCATTCAAATTTAGAACAAAAAATGTTATCTGAAATTATTTATTAAGTAGAAAACATTTTTTCCAGTCATCGGTTGAACGGAATTTGCAGTTTTAAAGATTTAATTAAACAAGGCTTTTCCATTTAACGGCTTTAGAAATCACCGTCAATCTCACTTAAACGTGTTTTTTTTAAATTTTTCTATGTAAAATCTAAAAAAAATTTTCATTCGCAGTTCAAATGATGCTCAATTAAAATGGTTTTTATGTCTATTTGTGAAAACACGTTAAATTTCCCAGACAGATTTACATGGTGAGATACCTAGGTTGCAGGCATAACCTATGATATACATGTACTACGTACATTGATGAATGATTACATAAATGGAAATCTTGAAAATTTGCATAAATTTATAAGTTATATAATGTATATTTATTAAAAAATTATTTTTTCAATTCTAATGCCAACAACCTTAATGCCAATAATAATATAATTTTTAAATTTCTTCTTAGTTTGAATGTTTAAAAAAGGTTACTGCGTTTCATTTACATTCAAGAAAAAGATAAACATTCTTAGATCTCATTTTACTTAAAAGTTACAGAGTTTGTAAATTTACACTTAAGAATGCAGTTGGACAACGGACGAAAAAAATCATTTTTTAGGTTCCCACCACCATAAAAAAAACTTTAATCCAATTTTCATTTGAGCTAGCACACAGAACTGTCATTGATCATTGTAAATATTCACATTTATCATCCTCATGGAATTTTTTTAATATCAAATTAAAATAAAATTATTAGGATATTATTAAATAATTATCAATTTTAACTATCAATAAATAAAAAATTATAAATAATTATCAGTCCAGTCATAATAACAACAAGGGTAATCATTTTAATCATCATATGCTATCATTTTCGTTATTTGTTTTGATCAAATCTTAATCATCGCCACAATATTCTGCTGTTGTCATCATCGCCCTAATTAATGCCAGTAGTTACAACTGCATAAAAACTACCACAAATTAATTATTATAAATTCTAGATTAAATAAAACATTACTTAAATGCCTTTTTTGTTTGTTTAATTAAAATTCAAAAATGAGAGCAAATAGTTTTATGTTAAATGATAAGTAAGAGAGAGAATATCTGAAAAGTTATTAGCGAAGAAACCCTAGAGGTTCTGCAGAAGATTTCCTTCCCTATTAACAAGCGGTGAGACTTTGCATATGCAGTCATCTTATTACAACAAATGTATGTAAAATCATGCGTATATGTAAAATAACATTCACACATCTGCACATGCCATGCTTACGCACGCACGCACTCACACACGCACGCACAATACACACACATACACACACACAAACTACACATCAACACTCATAGGCGTGAGCGAATGTACATGAAGCTCCTAAAGTATTCTAAACAAGATTAAACGACATCCTTTCCATCTTCGCCGGCAAATCCCTGGCCAGCACTCAGCGTGGCAAATAAGCAAACCACACAAACCATGTCTACACTAACACTGAAATACACTCATACATACACACACTCACACACTCATACACACACACACATACACACACATAAGCTTGACTTGGCGAATCTTAAAATAGTGCTACACATTAAAACAACTTAATGAATATACACGCATAAACAAATACCTAAACAAATATACAAAACTAACTAACAATATAATATATAGGATAAAAAATATAGATAAATAAGTGATATATATATATATATATGTATATATATTAAATTGATAATTTGTCAAATTTGTCAAACTGATCGACAAAGAATAAAAGGTACCTAACGTTAAGTTATATAGTAATAATCAGGGATGTACGTAGGGCACCATCCAAAGGGTGTACACAACCCCCCTCCATGCAGTTTTTCATGTCAGCGTGTTTCCTCCACATGCAAACGAGTAACAGGAAGTAATTTATGGACTAACATAAAACTGGCCATGCATTCATGCATGGTCGAGGACTGACCATTCGTATTTTTTTTTCACTTTTCTCTCCATTTTTTCATCCATTCACTCATTTATCCATTTATTCTTCTGTCCGTTCGTTCATTTATTCATTCAGTTTTTTGTTGCGACCTTCATGTTGTTATAGTTCGAGCCTGGAGTTGAGACCGTCCACCAATTTACACTGCAAAATCACATCAGAATATATATTTATTCATTCACTCACTCATCTTAGTAAATATTTTTCTATTTGTTTATTCATTTATTCAGCATTCATTCATTCATTTGTTCACTCGTTCATTCGAATTAATTTATAGGTACAAACTTTTCAAAATACATTTAAATGAGTACACGATGAGTACACGATGAACATTTTAAAATTGATAAAAACGTCCGAAACTTTGAAAATCAGAAGCCTCTCTATTTTAATAAACATCACCGACAAATAAAAGAATGCAATCAAAAAAGAACATTTAAAAAAAGTTCTCCTTCGTTATGACATCAACCAATGCTACCAGCACCAGCCCAATACCAGCCCAATAAATAACAACCAACAGTCTCTCAGTCGATACAACTCCTCAAAAGTGGCCTCAAAAACATTCTTTCCATAATAAGGTTACTTTTCTGATGATACAAAGAATAAAATTAGAGATAACTAACTGTTAATATTACATAAATGCGTTATAAAATACGAGTTTTGTTGTAAAACATGAGGCCTCCTAGCCAATGAATGTTTAAAACATGGCCGGCCAAACGCGTACGCATGTGTGTTGTGCTTGTTCAACACAAGGCTCATTATATTCTAAAAAAGAAGATGCAAATTAAAAGGCTTTCATACAGATAAACTAACCAAATAAAGATAAGCAACTATTCGAAGTTAAAAATACATTCATGCAATCCTCGAGCATACTAAACTACGTCGGTACGTTGTATTTTATTGTTTGCGAGTTTTTATAAACTGATCTGGTTGAAAAAATTGGTCGCTAGACACAAAATTTCCTATGTATCATTACACATGTAATATAACGAAATTATTAGAATGTAGTCTATTTAGAATAAATGTAAAAAAATAACTTCACAGTTAATTAATTAATTGTGCGATTAATTAATCAAATAATTAATAAAATGATTAATCAATTAGTTAATTCAATTAATTGTGAGAAACATCGATTGAAATTGCCTCGTTAGAAGCTGCGCGTACATAATCCTCGCGTAGGTACATTCCCATGAATCCGATACATAATTTTATTTATACTTATACTATTACTGTTGGCTCGTTTTTCAGATAATTTTAAACAGCTAAAAGATTAAAGTGATAAAGTAGTTAGTATTAATGGTAGCAGTAGTAGTAGTAGTAGTAGTAGTAGTAGTAGTAGTAGTAGTAGTAGTAGTAGTAGTAGTAGTAGTAGTAGTAGTAGTAGTAGTAGTTGCGGAAGAAGTTGTGTGGTAGTAGCAGCAGTAGAAGTTGTGTGGTGGTAGTAGTAAGAGTAGAAGTAGCTGTAATAGCAGTCGTCGTAGTAGTAGTAGTAGTAGTAGTGGTAAGAGTAGTAGTATGGGTAGTAGTAGCAGTAGAAGTAGTGGAGTAATAATAATAATAAGAAGAAGAAAAATTGTAACAATCAGTATAATAATATTAACCATATGGATTATTTTTACATATAACAAAATGTAATGCCATTTTATTTTATTATAAATTATATACAAATATAAAAATATATATAAATGAATTACATAAATTATATTGACATTGATTTAATAACGCGGAAAAAGTTTGTAATTTAATTACATTAACTAAATGTCAGACATGCACTGGTCACCAACCAACCTTCTTATGAGAGATTTTTTTGCATCACTCAATCAAATCCCATCAACATCATTGATGTTATCAGATCATCACTGCCTTGTTATCAGATTTCACTCAACAAGTTGTATGTAATTGCTTCAAGTTTTGGTTAACTTTTTAAATTTCTACAATTTAAAAAACACAGAGTAGTTTTTTTTGAGGTTTAAATAATAATCGAATTAATACACCTAAAAAGACAATCGATCAAACGTCAAACACTTTTCCGAATTAATCCATAACGCGATACGATGCTTCAGTTTAAAAACATTTGCACATGGGGCAAGACAAATGGGGATTTATAAATAAGATTTTATAAAATTTTACAGAATATGCATGCATATATGAAGACGTCCAATGCCTGCATCGATATGTTTATGAACACTTTCGTTCCATATATCACATACAATACACTGAAAATGTACCACATGTGCGTATATACACACTGATATATACAAATATACACATGTGCATATACATACATGCATGTATCTATGTATGTATGTATATCAAGCATACCGTACGTACATATATATATGTACTTTACGTGTACATTGAGTGTACAACCGTGCATCATCTAAGATGAGATAGGTGTGAATTTGAAGATGATGAAAATTAAAGATGATGATGGTGGTGATGAATGCGTGGAATGATTGTCACTTCATGTGTTCGTCCGTGTAGTTGCGTGTTCATGTTTGCGTGCTATTTTTTACGTGTTTGATCGTGTGTTTGTGTGTGATTGTATGTGATTGTGAGTGTGTTTAGTGTTTGCGCGTGTTAATTCGTGTATGTGTTTTGTATATTTTATTTCATTTAGTTTGTGACTGTGTGCACATGTAACAAATAATTATGAAGATGAAAATAATGTAAACGATTATAATATTGATAGATAGATACGCGTAACGTATATATTTAAATACGTATAAAAATATGCATGCATACAAAACATGCTGAATAAGCTGCACATCAGAAGCTTGACTGACAACGATGATGGTAATAACTGGAATAGATGGGATGATGGCTCCATAAATATTTTCACTTGCCTTCATTTCTGTGTTTGGGTGGATGGATGCTCAGGCTGTGAGTACTGAAATATGAACAAGTGTATTCACTCAGTAGTTCAATCTGAAATATGCACAAGTTCAATGATCGTTTTTCTAGCGAGTTATGAAAATAAAGAAATATTTTGTTAAAATTTAAGTTGCCAATTATAATAATTTATTCAGATTAAGTGAGATATATTGAAATAATAAGAATTAATAGTAAGAGCGTCTGAAGTTATCCAGCGTCTGAATGAAGTTGCAGTAACTATGGCGAGCAATAATTATTGCGGTAGAATCTTATAGCGCTAAAATCGTGATAGTTTACCTGTCTGTCAAAAATTGATGACAACAAATTAAGACGATTTACGAACAATGAAAATGTTAACGAGGTTTTTTGTCATTTTTTTTGGTTGTAATTTTAAAAATACAGATATGTAAACATATACATACATATATTAGTAAAAGAATTCACCAATCTGTTAAAAAATAATTAAGATAAAAAATATTGATTGTAAAATCGGGACTGAAGATGACGATTCTGGATGCGTCTAACTGGAATGACGTGGAATGAGTGAGACTTGATTTCAAAATTTGACAAATTGTCGTTGATGGCGGGTGCGGATAATGTGCTACATGAAGCAACCGACCGAGCGACCGAGGTGCAATGGAATGATTGGTACATAGTACCAAGATGAAGGACTAACACCACCCATGACGTCTGCTCTGCAAAGACAACTCCGCACCAAGATACCCGACCAATGAGAAAATAGAAAATAAGAAGAATTGTCAATTTAGAAGTAAAATGGCTTAAAAGTTGCATTTGTTTCCTTAATTTATAAAAAAATGAAACATTTATAACGAAAATATAGAAGTTAATCAACCTGTTTATTAGCGTTGCCAATTCTCTTCAAATGTATAATTTTATGTTTTTTTAATAGTCATTTACAATAAATGGAAAACAAGTTTTTGTTTTACATGACGGAGCCTCATATATTTTATTCCTCAGTTCGAACATTCAAGTGGATTTTAATAAAATTCTTAACTCTACTTTTGCTACTAAAAAGTTGTTAATACAATAAAAGTAGTAAATAAAAATATTTTCAACAAGAATTTAATAAATTTTATCGATCCTATAATTTATTTAACAAATGAAGGAATAAAATTTTTTATATTACTACTACTAGCTAACTAACAATTTGTTATTTTATGTTTATTATTATTAATTTAATTGAAAAGTTACAATAAAATTGTATATTTAAGTTATTAAAACTTTTTTGTATTCATCCTTTTGATTTTTTTCCGTTTTTGAATAAAAAAAAGAAGAGACAATAAATGAAGCGCAGTACTCGCATGATTTTTTTTAGTTTAATTGTTAAATATGTTATTTAAAACGAAAAATTCGCTAATTTTTTTTTTTAGTCTAATTGTTAAATTTTTTTAAAAACGCAAAATTCGCTAGCACGCTCGCACAAACAAACAAACATCAGCTAAAAAAACTAACAAAATACAGTAAGAGGAGTTATAACAAACTTCTATACAACAACCATCCTGGAACCATCATGTTGAACCACCTACAACGATGTAAGAGGTCCGACTGCATGTGAAATAACTTCACGAATTCGCAGGACCATTTTTAGGACCAATGCAAGCACCGACCATTCAGATCGATACAACACTTTATTGCTCTTATTTCTATTTCTGCCCCTATATAAGACTGCAGACAGCGGACAAATACTGTCCAAGAAATCAAAAGTCCTACGCAATTATTATTTATATTTATATTCTCAACAGACGAGAGATGCTGTTGACGTTATGTGGAAGGGAAGGTGATTTAATGCTGGCGGATTTCAACAAAGCATCCATCATCACCACGTACAATGCATTGCTCTTTAAATGTTCTTGTTATTAAATGTTCCAGCGTGTTCTTTCTCGCCTCATTGACAACCGTATATTTTGTTCACATTAATCAGAATAAAAAATTACTATTCAATGCTATATAGTATCTTATGTTCATCATTGTAGTTTTTGTTTTAATTTTAATATTTCTACAGTTTTTAACTTTTTATTCAATGGTTTTTTTTAGTCTGGACAGAAATGCGTTGTTTGTAGTTATTGAAACTGCATTTAATGTTGCTCGTGATTTGACACATTTTTTGCATAAACAAAAAATCAATTTGTATTCATAAAAAATTTTTTAAATAACTTATATTCAAGTCTTCACAACAAAAATAGGAAAATTTCTATAAACCCATGTTATAAAATGACAAAAATAACAAAACCAACCAATCAGACAAAACTTTATGCAATTTGAAAACATTAGGGCAGGTGCACCGATGGAACATGACCACATCTCAAATAATTGTTCATGAATAACGCGCGTAATAGTTACACACACTAACAAGGTTCATGCGTACACACAAACAAAAACACACACACGAATATACAAAAATACACACGCGCACACACACATACAAGTATAACGTCTCTTTCATCGTCACCAACAAAAACATCACGTGATTTATCATTTCGTTTGAGCTTGTTGAATGCAGTAGAAATAAAAACTTGACAACACATGTGATGTATGCATTAATAACACATACACCCAATTTATAGCATCTATGTATGTTTGAAAGTTACAGATGACCTTTCATCAAAGACCTTTATTTACATTTTCAAATGTATTTGTATATCTTTATAATATGAACACTACTCTAAACATACTTATATTTAGTTTGGCAACAGTTAATCAAAGAAACCTGTAAAAATTTCAAAATTGAGTTTTTGTTGTTTAGAAAAAACTTAAAAAAGAGACAAAATTTTCCACAAGATGTCGGAATTTATTACCGGCTTATTTCCGATTTAATCAAGATCCAGCGTTCGGCCATTTTTTGAACCACACGTTTCAATGATGACTTCAATTCATCCAAATTTTTCTAAAAAAAAAAATTTATGAAAATATTTTGCCAGCTGTAGATATGCCTGTTAATATATCATGTAAGCAAATAAGTGATCTGTCTGCTTCAAATTTCACGTTAATCATTGATTAAAAAGAAATAAATTAAATCAAATTAAATTAAAATTAAATTAATGTGATTAATATTAATGTAAGACAAAAATTTACGATCGATACATTTTCAATGTTTACAACGAGCTGGCATCCTAGATATTTAACATAAATTATTTATATGTACTGATGAATAATTGAGATAAGAAAAAGAGAAAAACATAAAATTTTATTGCAGTTATATGTAGGGACAAAATAATTTTTTAAATAATTGGATTTTGAACATGAAAGTAGACACACGCTGGTGTTAAAGTTATTTAAAAATTTGCAAAAGAAAGAAAATTTTCAACAGCCGTGTAATTACGCTAACAAAATCCATCCTTACTTTTTACGTTGCGTTATTTTTCAATGAAACTGCAGAGTCCTTTTTTAAAAAATGTTAATTTACCAGAAACGAAATCAATCATTTTTATTCAAATTACTCTTCCAACGAAAGTTGGAAAATCAGGAAAATTAACAAATTTAAATTGTTTTTTTTTTGAGTTATGTACCGCCTTCTTCTTACCAATATCCTGTCCAATTATTTTAAACAATAAATTTTAAAATTTAAAAAAAAAAGAAAAAACAAAAAATATGACATATATACTTCTCATTCATTTTGTTGCGGCAACATTTATTTTGTTGCGGCAACATTTATTTTGTTGCTGCAACATTCATTCTGTTGCCGCAACATTCATTTTGTTGCTGCAACATTGATTTTGTTGCCGCAGCATTGATTTTGTTGCCGCAACATTCATTTTGTTGCAACATCAGCGCAAGTATCAGCATCAGCAGTCAGTCCCATCATTTTACATCGAAAGTGATTTTCTGAAGAGCGGTTCTCTTAGGGTACTAATGCAATTGCACAGTGGTTTCATTCACTTGTTGATCTAGATGTTGAAGTGTTGTTGTGTGTTGTTGTTGTTTTCATAGATTGTTGGTGTCTCGAGAACTGCGTCGAGTGTTAAAGCAATGGTTTTTTGCGGTTTTGTTGCTGGAGACGTTGCGAATGTTGTTGAAACTCTCCTCAAAAATGTTTTGCATTGCGTAGATGGGACTGAAAAGATTTTTTGTGTACAGTTTAATTTTTTTTACATGGCTTTGTGTCTTTATTGCTGTACAATTGTTAATTATTTTTTACAAAAAATATAAAATATATATTATTACTATGAATATATTTGTGTAGGAAATTTTGTAGAGTGTGACAACATCAACTATAAACAATGACAATATGTTCTACAAATAGTAATAATTATTCACTATTCTCTCTACTAAGAGATGTCAACAACACATACACAGAGTGTATGAATATAAATGGATCAATTGAATCCTGTATAACTGCAACAGAGGTGTCTTCAACAGTCGTTAAACCGCCAAGCCACCAGATGAAAATAAAAAAATATGAAAAAGTATCGCCAATTATTTTGAAATGACAAAACATATTTAACATTTAAATAAAAACCAAAAGTATAGAAAATACATCGACAATTATTTTGAAATGAAAAAACATATTGAACAATTAAATAAAAACCAAAAATATAAAAACTTATCGACAATTATTTTGAAGTGGCAAAACATATTGAACAATGAAATGTTTTGCGACGAATAAATCATTTACAACAAAAGTTTTAAAATCGCTTCAAGGTTAATTTTCCCTAACCTTAGGTTTGAATGCTTGTTGTTCAGGTTTGCTGTCGTTTGACTCGTTGCAGTTGTTGTTAGTGTTGCTAGGAATGTTGTTGTTTCTGTTTCTTTCTGATAATTTTTGGAAGTAGTCAGCGGCGAAGAGGTAGAGGTCGGAAGGTTTCTGTCTGAGGACTGCCACAGTGAAGTCGCGTAGCATCAGACTGAGACCAGCTGGGATCTCGTGCTTATTCATCCGTAACCTGCCCTTCAAACAAACAACATGTAATTTTTAATTAAATATACAATAAATATTCAATTAACAATCGTACTAACGATGAAAATAAAGTTATTTTTAAAAATGTCCATTTTTTAGAAATTGAAAAAATGATGAAATAATAAACAATATCAATGTTGATGTTGGCTGTCTCATTATGACCGTTTGTCTTCATTTCAAACTTTTAATTCTGTAATTTTAAACTGTTAAAATGTTTTAAAAACGAGATAAAAGAAAACACAAAAAACTTAGAGAGGAGGTGCAAGCTTTGCACCTAAAACTTCAGCAAACATATCGGCAAACACAGGCCATGTTGATTCTTGTAGGAATGATATAATACACCAACCATGGCTCTTGTTTAAATAAACATATAAACATACATACATACCTGTATACAAACATACAAACATTTATTTATCCAGAAATATTTTTTAAAATGTTCTGCGAAAAATGAAATTGTGCTATTTTAACTTTTCGTAAATGAGTCAAACATATCATATGTTATATATTATAAAAATTTTGTCATAAAAAGTAGCATAAATGTGTTGAAGTGACGTCAGATTTTCATTTTAATCCGCATTTTAATTTTAATTTTTAATTTTTAATTTTAAAACACTGCTGACCATTAGGTAGTAGTCGGAAATTTTCGCTGGAGATTTTTTTTGGGGACCGATGTAGAAGTCGGATTTTTTTATGTTTGAAAACATAAGAATAAAAAAATTTACTACAACAAACAATTACATTAACTGATTTTAAGTGTTTTAAAGTAATTTTTATTTAACAATAATAGTAAGATGAAGTTATGATACAAAAGTTTAAAAAAAAGTTTCTTACATTATTATTATTAATATTATCAGATGACTTATATAACATTGAAAATCATATACATAGAAATACATCCCCGATATATCACACTATCATATGAAATTAGACACGCACACGTACACAAACACACGCACGTACACACAAAAGCACAGTCACAAATACAATCACGTACAAATACATGCAAACAAACCAAGCAGCTTCGTCTTTGATTGATTAATCGAAAGAAATTTGAAACTTGGCTGATATCTTTTGCAAACAGGTCTGCAAACATCCTAATCAGCTATTTAAATAACTCTTTATATGTTTTGAGAAATAATTTTTTTAAGGATGCTACAAAATTGAAAAATTGACAAATATAATATACCACTTGACAAATGCTTGCTTACTTATTTTCTCTCAATGTATAATGACACACACACACACACACACACACACACACACACACACACACACACACACACACACACACACACACATGTGAATATGCGTAACAAATATTTTATCAACTAATTAACAAGAATAAAAAGAATATGCAACATGCATACACTTTCCCGTTCGATTTTACAGCATGTTTTCGCGCACAAAATTTAATTTGCTCAACTTAAAATTCGCATCATGCTGAAGAGTGAGGAGGAAATTTATTGCAATGGACCTGGTAAGCAGCAGCGGGAAGCAAGCATGCAATTAAATGTTGATAAAACAGACGCCATGATGAATTCTGAAGAGTACGTGACGTCATTAACGAGGAAACTTCTCGACACCGCCCTAACTTGGCGCATCGTGAGACCAATGTTTTTTGCAACCAACGGTACTTGCAACCAATGTTAACTGCAATCAATGCTGCTTGCAACTAATGATAACTTGCAACAATTTGTTTTTTGCACATTTTAACAATTTTTAAGCGAACACAAATGTTTGGGAAAAATAATCGTGATATATTAACTTATCAAAAAAAAGCTTAAAATTTTGTTTGTCTAATAATTTTACGATTTTCCGACAACACATTGAAAAGTTTTGAAATGGCAACTTTTCACCACCATCCACTCCATTACAAAAGATGGTCTCGAAGAAAGATCTGTTCATTCGGAGTTGTTTGCGTAATTAAATGTACTAAGAAAAATTTTTTGTTTCAAATAAATAAAAATAATAACAATAATAATAATAATAATAATAATTGTAAAAATTAAGACAAATGCCAAACAGCTGTTAGATAGTTGATCAATAGGATTTCAGTTGAAAGCTCTACGTAAGACGAAAGCATGCAAGGAAATTGTTTTCAAGAATGTTCAATTGATTGTTTGATGGGATTAAAAACATTTCTTGTTCGCCCTTTTTTTTATTCACATTTTGCTTCCCGCATTCAATTCTGTAAAAAAAATAACATCAAAAACTTGAGGTCAGCGACCAGTGCATCTAAATTGAAATTCTGGCAACCAATCATGTTGCGAGATGTGCTCTGAAACAATATACCCTGCGGTTGATTGGCTGGCTTCTGCCAAAAGATGCACGATGATGACTAAATTTCAAAGATAATAAGAATGTCATTACAAATTTTACACTCATATGTGTGCGTGTATGTGTGTGTGTGTTTGTCTGTGTGTGTGCGTGCGCGCGAGTGAGTGAGTGTATCTAAGTGTGTGTGTGTGTAATAAAATGTAATGGTATTTTCTAATACGCAATGCTAAACAAGCACTATGCACGTAAAATCTACACATGAATATACGCATCCTATACGTTGTTTATAATAGACAAGGATATGTTTGCATTTGAATCCAGTCCCTGCGACAGAGGAATTGAGTCTTTTGGTGTTTTCTCACCACAACAACATTTCATCGTCATCTGTGTTGATCATTGTTGTGCACATGAGTGTGTGTGTGTGTGTGTGTATGTGGTTACGTGTGTTATGATACTGAACTTTAATCAATGCTAAATATAGATACTTAAAATGTTCAGCTAGTAAATATAGATACTAGTGAATTGCTCAGCTCAGATGTTAGCCAGTAGACAGAATGACATAAAATGAAATCATGGAAAATGATCAATGATATATTGGCCGAATTATTAACAAACCAACACAAAGGCTGACAAATTAGCCCCGTTCCTTACTTGAATGGGTGTGTAGAATATTCAGCTGGTGTGTTGGCGTCAAATAATCATCGACACAAAAGCTTATGTATGTGGATGAATGATTTTTTTATTATTCATGAAGTAAAAATGATTAAATTTTATTAGAATTAAATCAAAGCATTTCTGTCTGGAATGATGTGAATGAATAGTTTGAAAATATGCATTTAAAGATGAAGTGGAATGTTTACTATAAACAAATAAATGAAAAATGCACACAAATGACTCATTATGTTCTGTTCTAGCAATGCAAACCAATATAAAATTATAAATAGCTGACACACACACACACACAAAAACACAAACACATACATATATATATCTATTTATGAGTATATTTATTTATATATTTATTAGTTTATACACACAAATACAAAAAGCATATAATATTTAAGCCCGGTATAAAATGATAGATGGAAAAGTTCAAGAATCTTGTCAACTGTTCATCTTCATTTAAAAGACAAACACCGCTCGAGGAAAGAAAAACTTTGGAGTGGAAAAAACTTGTCGGTGAAATATAAATAAATTTGAAAATTCAAAATAATGTTTAAAAAATAAATAAATAAATATTAATAAAAAGCAATAAATTTAAATAAATCAATAAGCATAAACATATATGAGAAAAAATTAAAAAATGAACTATGATTTATTTCGTCTGAGTAAAAAAAAGGACACATTCGAAGGAAGTTGAACACGTGCTATGAATGTATACAGTGAAACACGCGTTTGTATGCGTATATATGTGCGTGTGCATGTGTGCGTGTCTGTCTGTGTGTTAGTAATATGACTGGTAGTATGTGTTTATGTATCTTTGACTCTTCGTTGATTAAAAAGCCATTGATGGGGCTATAATCAATGTCAGGTTCTTTTAAATGGCGATTATCAAATCAATTTGAAATCATTTCAGCTAAAAGATCTACGACTACTACATCATAAAACCATATAATTGGGATATAAAATAAACTACAATCTAATTCATTATTAACTTTTATATGATTTCTAAGCTGTTTATTTAATTTTCTATAGTGCAACATTAGCATCATGAAAAGCATAACACAACAGCATAACACAACAGCATAACACAACAGCATAACACAACAGCATAACACAACAGCATAACACAACAGCATAACACAACAGCATAACACAACAGCATAACACAACAGCATAACACAACAGCATAACACAACAGCATAACACAACAGCATAACACAACAGCATAACACAACAGCATAACACAACAGCATAACACAACAGCATAACACAACAGCATAACACAACAGCATAACACAACAGCATAACACAACGAAACAATGTATCGTACATATCTACGCGCGCATTCAACTTTGATTCAATATGGTCTGCTGATTCACATTCGTTACAAATCGCAGTCATGTCAGTTAATGTAACAGAAGAACAGCTATTGAACATTCCATTTATTTGATTCTAGATTTGAGATTTAATTTTAGAAAATTATATTATTTGAAGAAAAGGACATTTCGAATGTTTATGCATCACTATTAAATGTTGATAATAGACCATAATTTTTACAATATTCTATAAATTCTACCGAATGTTATTGTAACTATAGTAATTATAACATTCGGTAGAATTTATAGAATATTGCATCACTATTAGCAAATGACAGTTCATAATTGTGCCATTGTCTGATCCAATCAATTTAATCCTATGTGAAACAAACATTAATTGATCGTTTTTTAGTTCACAACTTCATCCAAGGTTTTATTTTATTTTCAGCCTAAACTGAAGTCTTAGGCAGGTTTTGTCGATAATAATATTTTATTAATTAGTTTAGTTACTAACGTCAACTTCTAAAAGAATTAAAAACCGTCCTTTAATTTCTTATCACATCAAGCGCAAGCATAAGTTTATCCAATATCGGCATGATGATAACATGTTCTGTGAATGTGGCGTCACAGAGTTTCTTACTCAATTATTTATTGACCTATGAATAGATGGTAGTAAGATATCCAAAAACACTTCAACAGCGAATTATTCGAACCGGGTCCAAACAACATGGTGTTGTTCGAAGATTTTGTTAGCAATGATCGGATAATCTACTGTAATTCATCCATCCATTATTTAATTAATTCAATGGAAATTAAATAGATTTCCCCAAAGCAGAAATTTGTTGTCTTGAATTCTGATGAGCTAAATGTCCTGAAAAACCGCCTGCTGTAACAGGTGCTGCCTCGTTTGATGAATTTTTCCCCAACAATGACAAAACGATCTCGCACAACATTTTTAGATTTTTTCATTCTGCCGTGATGATTGATTGACTGGCAAAAAGTCGTTTTCTTTATTTGCAAAATAAATTAATTGGATTTTATTTAATGCATCTTTCCAACTATTCCTGCTCTGGCCTTCATTGCCCTTCAACTTCACGTGGCTTGTATTGTAGATGTTTTATTTTCTTTAGCGCTATTGAAAATTTATACATTAAACGGGCGCTATATAAATATCTTATAATGATAAAAATAAAAAAGATAATAAAAATTAAATGCCGGAGTAATGACGTCATCGCGGTGTTGCACAACACTGTGATTGTGATGGTCTGTTAATCTCAAGTGTCTTAGAAAGTGTTTGCTTTAAAAATTTATATCTGTTATGCTCTGTTGAGTTGGAACGTAAAGTTGTAAAATAAAAATTTGGATTTCGTTGCGTTTGTTTCAATGTTATCAAAGTTTCAACAATCAATCAATGTGACACAAAAACAATTAGCCAATATAACAACCAACCAGTATAACAAAATGATTTTGAAAAATTACCAACAGATTTTTTCATAATACACACACACACACACACACACACACACACACACACACACACACACACACACACACACACACACACACACACACACATACACATACATACATACATCCATACATCCATACATACATACATACTTAAATACATGCATATAATCACATAATCAGACGTGTATGTACAGGCACACATTCCCGCCCATATAAAACCTTCATTAAACCAGAACGTCGTGTGGGATGAACTGGTGAAGAAGGACACTCCGCTAACAAACGCGGCATTAAAATATAAAGAGTGCCCGTTTAAAACGTACCAACGTGGCTATAGCACGCCTAATCTCTTACGTAAACATACAGTCTTGGGTGATGTGATGATGATGATGATGATGATGATGATGATGGTGATGATGATGGTGGTGGTGGTGGTGATAATGATAATAATGACGACAGTGGCGATGATGATGATTATGAAGATGTTAAGATGACGAAAAAGATGATCATGATGATGTAAAGCGACGTGTCTATAGATAACTAACAACCCTCAAAGTTCTGTGTAGAAATAAAAATCTAAAAATACATTGGATTGTAAACTTTGTGAACTATTATTTTGTGCCAAAAATTGTAGACAACGTTTTACTGTTCATAATAATAATTTTGATAATTCGGTGCCTGACTATCCATTTAATTTGGCCATTAATTTCAATGATTATTTAGCGTAAATGTTAGGCAAAAAAAGTTTGCCACAGTTAATATTTCAAAAATGATCGAGACATTGAAACTGAAAATGGGTTGAAATGGTGAAACTTGAGATTTGAAGGTATGAGGGTGTAAAATATGAGACGGTACGCTAATGTATATACGTGATTGATTTGCAAATGTTTGTTAAGAAATACATCGACCAAACAAATACACCAGCATACTCTTCTATCTAAAATTATTTTAATATTTGCTGCAATTAATCAAAGTGACATTAAAATCATTGCTGACTTTGTGCTTAGCGCCGCAGACATTTTCATTATAGAACACAGGTGTGTGTCAAACCACATCAAAACTACTGCAGTACGTACACTGTGTTCATTGTTGATAGATTTCATAAAAAAAAATTCACATTTTTTAACTATCAGAGCCTAAGTTTTCAGATGTTTCACTATGATTGATTGAACACTAAATACAAATTCGCATAATAGGTTTATTTCAAAATGATAATGTTAATCTAGGCAGCAACACAACATGTTGATAAATTTGTTACATGTGAAAACTGCATTTTTTATATAATAGTTTCAATGTTTTCTGCTAACAGGCAGTGGCAGATCTCGACAACTTTGACGGGGAGGGGCAATTTATAATTTGTCACATGCACAACACGTTGACCGGTGGGATATTTCAAAAATATCTGCCTTGATCGGGGAGGCTAAGATTAGGCTTACGACCCTTTTTGGTATTTATCGTCAAAAACGCTACTTTTCAACACTTCTTCCATTATAACATTCACTTACAGGTGACTTTTAATACAAACACTGCTGCAGGCACCCTACCATAGACCTGCCACTTCTAACAGGCAGATGTGCACTTGAAAAATTATCAATTTTTAAAAACATGAAAATCAAGTGTGCACTGAGAGGTATTTTTAAATTGAATCTTTCCTTGAACGAACGTCGTACGTACGGTGGTCTCCACCATATAAATCATCAAAACAAATTCGAGTTCTTTAATAGTAATGTTTGCTCGGAGTTTTGTTATTTAACCATCTTCACTTGTGTCAGGCCTGGTGTACAAAATTGGAACATGTAAACCCATGAAGCATCAGATTGTGATTAAAAACTTATCGGACGGCAAAATACGATGAAATAAATATTTGTATCCTTTATGATCTAACTAGCAAGCGAGCAAGTTTTATATTCAAAACGGTACTTTGTAATGTCTTTGTGAATTATTTGTGTTTGTTACACTCTGTTACTCTTTATGTTGCATGCATCTGAATACACGAGCATCTGGTTTAATTGCCCGAATTTTATTTTTCATTTGGGATTCACTTTGATTTTTTCATCTGTTTGAAGGAAACACATCAAAACAATGCAAATGGTTGAAAACTCTGCTGCTTGTACTAAAATGATAAAATTGAAACAAAAATGTAATTCAAAATTCAACAATTACAAACAAATGCCTTTGCTATTTTTCAATATTTTATTTGCAAACTTATAAGTTGATGATTGCATCGCATTATGTGATGATGAAATCGATTATGCGATTATGCTGTGATGATGTTGACGATAATGATGATGAGACGACAACGATGATGATGATGAAGATAATGAGGAGGAAGAGGATGGCATAACGAGGCATGACGCGTTATGCTAATGCAAAATATATTAATGAATTTCGTATATTTACTTATGAAAAATAATCATACTTAACACACTTTTGTGTTTTTTTATTAAAAATTTTACTATGAAAACTCAAAAGTAAATAATAATCTATACGACGAGTTTTATGTTTTTTGCAAAAAAGTCGAGAGAATTATGATGAAGAACAAGTAGTTGTACAGCGAGGCATGGCAATATTGAATAATGGTGATCGATTGTATTATATTTTTGTGATGAATTAATTTAAAAAATTATTAATTAATTAATAAACGGTTAATAAAATTAAATAGTCTTTAGAGTGTGTGTTATTCATGTTATTTATATTTTTATGTTTTATCATATTTATATTTTTTATTTAATCTAATAATTCAAATTAATTTATGATCTTTTTAAATGTGTCTTGACGAACGAACTGCTTGTTTTTAAATTTGCCAGGAATGATAGATGTAGACATATAATCTCAACTGAAAAATCACCAATAGCACAAAGCTGGGTGGGTGGATGGATGGAAGGACGGACGGACGGATGGATGCATGCATGGATGAATGAATGACTAAAATAAACAAATGAATGCCGTGAATGAATTGATTAATCAAATGAATAGAAAGCAAGCACAAAAAGCATGTTTCTAGATGTGATGGAGGTGCGAAGTGAAGGAAGCCAGGCAAATGTTGCATCTGGCCGGAAGATGTTACCTCAACCATCGTACGCACGGTTCTCTTGGCTGGCATGCACGTTTCTATCTATCTATCTATCTATGCGAAAAGAACCTACCTTCACAAGTCATACGCATTGTGAAGTTTATAAGACACATTGTAAAGTATTTATAAATGTATTGTAAAATTAGTTTTGTAATTGGTTCAAAATTGTAGGAACGTCAATTTTTTCAATTTATCAAAAATAATAGACCACCTTCAAAAATATTTTCACATTCGATTTCTATTAAAATTTAAGCAACTACAATGCGAAAATTATCATTTTGTCGAGCTTGCTTCTCAAATTCGAAGAGTAACGATTTTAAATTAGGGTCAAAACGACAGGAGACGTGAGACAAGAAATATTTCCAATGTTTAACATGAATATAAATGGGACAAGTTTTTAAAGTGAATATTGTTTCTTTTATTTTCCATCACATCTATTCATTTTAAATTCTTTGACTTAACCAGAGATTTCAATAAATTGTCATCATTCCCCCCGATGTCTTGAAAGTTCATTTTTAAATCTCTTCCATTTTTAACTGCCTTCTAACTCTGGTATTCTTACATGTTTTATAACTTTATATATATATATATATATATATATATATATATATATATGTTGGTAATAGACCATAATTTTTACAATATTCTATAAATTCTACCGAATGTTAGAATTTATATTTATTCGGTAGAATTTATAGAATATTGTATAAATATATATATATATATATATATATATATATATATATATATATATATATATGTATATATATATATATTAATAATAAATATTAATATTGATTTATAAATACACATATAGGTTATTATATATGACATATATAATAAGCATTTATATAGCGCTTTTTAAATCAACTTCACTATGTATAGATGTTACACTCACGTACTCGTGAGATGTACCTCCAGGGTTGAATTATATTCATTTTTAACAACTTTCTGAAAGTTGAGGCGAGTAAATGGATTAATTTTTTATTGTTTGTGTGCGTGAAGGTGTGTGTGCGCGCGTGTGTGTGTGGTTACCATTGGTTATTATCATCTATCAACTAATTATTTTACTCTATGTTGCGCAATTCGCCTGATTTAATGAGTTAAATGTTTTTCAGTTTAGTTAATAATACTGCATGTACTTGCTGATCTGAAGAAATTTAAAACTATAATTCGAAGTGACTTCAAAAAGAGTCTAACAATTCATTTATTCAACCTACCACAGCGAAGAAAGTGAAGCGAGTGCGTTTGATTGAAGTCACTTCAGGAGAGGCGCTTTATAAGTTCTGCGGTAGGATAGGCTACCATGCGATATACGGCCGGGAAGTAACAATTAAAATCACTTAAAATCACGTATCCCAAGAATACTACTTTTCTCTACATTCTCCGTTACTGAAAATATATTTCTCGCGTCCATAAATTATTTAATTTTATTTTAATTGGTTGATTAATCATTTAATTTTTGATTAAATCTTCCAAGAGAACTTAGTTGAAAGGAAATAGATGATCGCATGAAATTACATTTTAAACCAAATTTTAAAAAATTGAAAATCACTTTAAGTTATCTTTCAAAATGCTTTTCAAATTATCTTCTAATAAAATTATGAATTTATTTCAAATTTTTTAGCATTTACGTTACAATTTAAATTTAAAAAGAGATTTAGAATTCTCAAAAACATTTAAATACATTGCAATATGTTTCAAGGAATAATTATCAGTCAGATGCAACTTAATGTTTTTATATAAATCATCTACCAGGTTTTACTTCCACATTTCAATTTCTACTTTCATATGTGTCACTTTGAAATTTGCTTACTAATTATAGTAATTAAACTGAATCAACCACTTTTTGATTTTTTTTTAATTTAAATAATATTACACACAAAACATGTCCAGCAATTTCCAACGAATTTTAAAATTTGTAAAAAATTTATTGGTGCAACAGGAACAATGAAAGAAATGTTTGTATATAATTAAGAACTTGAACTCTTGGATTTTATAATCCGAATGATTAAAAGATGTTTGCAGGGAACAAACAATGAATAAACGTCGAATTATTATAATGAAATTATCATTAATTCCAGCAAACAACCAAACATTATGACAACTAGACCTTTTTTATTTTAAAAATCCGCACATCGATCTCACTAAGCAAACAGAAAAAAAATCTTGCCCGATTATATTTTTGAATATTTCTGAAAAGAAGAGCACGAGACAGCAAAGTTTCACGTCTGGAATGAATAATATCACTAAAATGTACGTATCAGTATTGGTGGAGTTTTTTCTTATTTTTCTAGTTCATTTTTTTTCTTACGATATTATTACATTTATAAAAATACGTCAAAGAATTTTACTTGTGAAACGAAGGCACTTTATATTCATCAGAACTTATGACACGTGCATTCTTCGGCAAGGTCACGCTAGGCCATCAATTAGCGTTCTACTCTGAATAAAAATATTGTTTCTAAAAGGCTGTCTGCTATCAGTTGAGCCGAGCCAGAATGTTTGTCTCTACTGTACAATCCACCCATCTAATGCATTGCATTTGCATTATACTCGCGAAACTTCAATTAAAATGTTATTCATTTGAGAAAACTGACAAGCTCCATTACTCCATTTTTTATTAAGAAAAATCAAAACATCGTTTGTAAAGACAAGTTTTTAATTAAATTTAAATTTTAAATATATTTTCAATTTATAGAATCATACGTGATTTGAATTGCATTTATTTTCTGTTGTTTAATATATTTAGCTTTTCGGATCACACTCCAGAGATGCTCGAGACAATCCACCTAGCGTTTCATTCATTTTTTGCATTTTTGCACCTCCAAAAATCAAACGAAAATCGTTAAAACAAACAAGAAATGAATTTCATGAGAAATTGTTTTTTTTTCTAGTTCTTTTTTTTCATTTTTCTCATTCTCATATTTTTCAAGCATTTACTTTTGCGGCAATTTTTCATTTCATGGTTTGTTGCACCGATGGGGTGAACCATCTCAACGTTAGAAGCAGATGAACGACCTACTGCCACCACCATCTGCTCCCTTGCGTCTCACAACTTACATCCGCTAATGTACCTTTTTAACATGAGGCGACCATTCTCTAACTCGTTCTCTTTTGAAGTTTGTGATTGAATGGAGCAATGCTTAAATTAGGTTTTCGTGGTATCTCAGAAGATTCTTAACTGAAAGGTTTTTTTGGGAATAATTTTCAACCTCGTCAATGAGTCATTGACCATTTACCAGGTTTTTTGATTATAATAAATTTATAATTCAGCTGTTTGTTTTAGATTTTATTATAATGTGTTTCAAGAATGTTTTTGTATAGTAATAAAGTCATATTCGATATGATTATAATAAATTTATAATTTAGCTGTTTGTTTTAGATTTTATTATAGTGTGTTTCAAGAATATTTTTGTTTAGTAATAAAGTCATATTCATATGTGCCTTTGCAACTATTCATTCGTGTCTCGATCAGCATGAAATTACTAAATTTTAAATCTTAAACTATTCTTGACAATTATTCGCTTCATCGTCTCATCATCATTTCTGACCATCGTCATCATCTTCTTCACCATCACCATTATAACTCTGAAAGCAAGCAGGCAGAATAAATCAAATGATCAATACTTTCAACACTGCAGCAATAGCACAGAGTCACTCACTCATCTTTTGGTCGCTTCGTGAAAATGAAAACATCATGGTCCCATTTATAAAGCGTGAATGACGTGGAATTCCGTAGAGAGGAGGATTGCAGACAACATTATCAACATGGTCGATGA